AAATTAGATCAAAATACTCAACACCCAAAGAATAACATATTTTTAAAGTTTGCACACTAATCTGCCAAAGATCGGGTCACCTAGAACAACATGTGTTCAAACCATCATAAACCGAAATATACATCACTAAATACCAAAATCTTTCACAGAGAGCTAGATAAGACATAAACCAACAATTTTTATTCTTATAACTTATTCCAGATCTGACCCTAAAGTCTCGAAATCAAGAGTGAAAAACAGAGTCGGAGATGAACTTACATAGATTTCCAACTTGATCATCCAAATTTGACAAAGAAATGGGTTTTTCCTCTCTTTCTCTCTCTCAAAACGGGAAACCAAATGGGATAAGAAGAGACAATGGTCAGGTAAGTAATCTTGATAAGATTGTGAAGATATTTTGGCAAAGTTCATTTTGGTCCTTCAAGTTTTGGCTTGTTTTTATTCTAGTCCCCCAACTTAGATTACATGCAATTGAGTCCCTATTTCTTCCTATTATTCAAAATACTTATTATCCAATACCCCACTAACATGTCATATATAGGTATAATTATATGCATGTAATTCATAAGTATGCATGTATGCATGAACAATGTATGTTTTTGGGACGGGGTTATTACAATTAAGCATGCAGCTTAGCATTGCCATAAAAAAATTGAGTATGACTCATTACCTAGCTAGTATGCAGGTTGAGCAATTGAAATGGCATTACCATAAGAAAAAAATTGAGTATGAAATACTCACGACCGACCACTATACATCTCGACCGGATGAACGTGGTATTGTTATAAAAAACCGAGTATGAAATACTCATACTCGACCAAGATACAGACTTGATTAAATGAACATGGCATTGTCACAATAAAAAAAACTAAGTATAAAATACTCACGGCCCGACTAGCAAGTAGCTTGGCTAGATGAACATAATGTAACCATAAGAAAAAAAAATTAAGTATAAAATACTCATGACTTGACGAGCATATAGCTCGACCAAACAAACATGGCATCGCCATCGAAAAAAAAACTAAGTATGAAATACTCACGACTCGAGTAGCATATAACTTGGCAAGATGAACATGGCATTGCCGTAAGAAAAAAAAACTAAGTATGCAATACTCAAGTTCGACCAAGTATAGTTTGACTAGATCGATATGATACTCGCTATAAGGAAAACCGAGCGTGAAAAGCTCATAACTCGACCAATGTGTAGCTTAGTCACACATATTTTTTAAGTGCCACGTACATGCATTTTATTTTTTAACCATAAAGATTAGACAATCTTTAACAATAAGGTGAAACCAATCTTCAATTAAACTTGTTCTTTTTTTGTTATAAAGAAATACTCAAGATTTACAAGAGTCAAGAACAAGTTTATTAGTGAAAATTAAGAATCTTAGCAAAGAATGTGCAATTGAGATATCAATCTTATCTATTTCTTCCACATGGAATATGGTGTGATTGGGAGAAACCGATTAAACTTGTAAGTCAAACTATTCTTTCCTTAACTCAACCGGCTCATAGGAAATGACATTCACTTGGTTATTGATGCGATTTTAGTGTTGTAATGGAGGGTTTTCTTTAATATTATTTTCATTACCAAAAACCATTTCCCCCTTGTTTAGCTTGTTAAGAAACAAAAATCCTAAGTTACGAGAATTTTCTATGGAAAACCCCATGTATTTATGGTACTAGTAATAATTAGATTTTCTTTATTTTCTTGAGATGAGAGTTTTTTTCACCCATGAAAGGATAACAACTTGGTCAATCACCCATCGGTCTAATAAAGTATATATCATGTCCATGGTGCAAGGAAAAGATACTCGGTAGATTCGGTTCCCTAATCGCTTCTCTTGTTCTTCTATTACGTCGCTCATCTAAGTGAATGACATTTATCAAATAACCTCTCTTAGCACTAATAATAAGTAGGAATGAATCATTCCTTCTAGAAATGATAATGAAATTATTGATCCGATGAGTGCTTTATACTAAGGTAGAAATGATAGTCAAACCTAAATTTTTAAGATTTATCTTGTATTCTCTATACACGTCTTAGATATATAGTTTAACGACTTCCCTCTCATCAAAACCCTCTTGGATGTTCAAGGTATGATCTCTAAACCGCTCAATGTATTCCATTAAATCCTCTCTAGAGCTTTGACATTCTCTTCTTAAGTCGAACATGGTCACCCTTTTATTAGTGGAGAAAAACATTTCAATAAACAATTTGAACATGTTTGCCCAAGTCTCGACGGATCTAGGGGCTAGTTTTACATACCATGTGTATACCTTCTCGCCGTAGACTTAAAAAATTCTTTTAGTTTCAAATCATTATCTAAACCATAAACACCAAGAGTCTCTACAAATTTCATTAGATGCTCTTTAGCATCTTTTTATTTTTCATTAAAAACTTTAAACCGGGGACTCATATAGTCCTTCGGGTAAGTGGCTTACAACAATGTGAGTTAGATAAGGAAGCTTGAGATCAAAATCACTAATAGATTTTGCTAACTTTTATTCAAAAAAATTTTCTAAGTCCTCTTCAATAAGATAGTGGTATTGATCACCTGGAAGCATCAATATAATGAGGTAGTTGGTGATCTTATACAACTGCATGGTTATTATTTGATGAGGGAATATCTTTCCTATCATTTGGTTGAACAGCAGACATGGGATAATCATCAACATTAATAATTAACGGTGTCATATTCTAAGGGAAAGTAGTTTGTAAAGTTCCACTCATAGACAATAGTTGTGTGATGTTACAAAGGGCTTCGAGTAAATATAACATTATTGCTTTAAAGGACTCGAACATTTATTATTGTTTTTGTCGTAGTTTGAGTTAAACATCTTGAAAACTTTCAAGACTCCGATCATCGATTGAAGACCAAAATATGGAATAGTCATGGTAGAGTGCTCGAGCAATGGGTCGAGGTAAGCCACCTCATCGTAGTGTTGGGAAGCTATTATTGCCAATTTGAGAGTTTATAGGGTTGTTGATATTCTCGGTGTTAAGTAGACTAGCACTATTAGTATTGTGATTAGGATAATACAAGATATCATCATTGTTATGAGTGGTTGAATCGGTAGTAGGATTGGTGTTGTTCTTAGTTATCTTGAAAGAAACCATTCTTTCTCACAATTACTAACTCCCTAAGTAGAGTCACCAAAATGTAGATGAAGGGTTCTTAAAAATTGATCGGACAACTAGTCGACAAGCTAGTGAAAATTTAAAGAGCAAGTTCTATGACTTGTAGAAGCATGTCATAACCCTCGAAGTGAGCCACGATCAATGCAAGAATCGAGGGAAACGTAAGGCCCACCTTGATTCAAGCAAGCCTCGAATATCTAAAATAAAATTTTCAATCCCGAATCACATTAAATATGTTTTCAATTTACGATATCTCAACCTAATAATCATTACTTTATATCTCTAACATAAATGATAATTCAATGCTATTCTTGCATTTTTCAAATCAATATCCATAATCAAATTCTAATACAAATTCGTCATAAGATATAACTATAGAGCTTTCAAGAATTACTATAAAATCAAACACGAGTTCTAAGTGACTACAAACAAATAAGCCGTACGATCAATATGTCGATTTTAACACAAGCGACTAAGTATAAATTTTATGATCTTCATGTGATAATGCTCGGATCATATCCATTTTTGTCCCAAGATGAACCATAACGTGACATGGATCCAAAAGAAATACAATTCCATTATTGTTGAATATGTGTTTGAATATCATCAATAGATGGTCTTCCTCTAGAAAATTTCAAAATTAGTGTATTCTAGAGTTGTTTTATCGCTAAAAATTTATATTGATGAAAATAGGCATGTTGGTTCCGAATTGATGATTGTAAGTTGTCGTAGGCCAAAAGGTATGTCCTTAAGAGGATGTGGTTTCTATGATTTAGATTTGGTTACTCGGATTGGTTGTTTGATTTAAGGTGTTGGCATAGGAAATAATGGGTGATGGATCGTGTTTTTGGTTTTCACATACAACTGCTACAATATCATATGAAGAACTAGGTTTAGTTATAGGATCGAGTATCTCAACCGAAATCTCCTTTCATCCACCCTTTTACTTTGATTCTCAATAAATGAGAGAGGTGAGGGAGATTGATTCTTCCATGTTGTATTCGATAATCCCCTTGCTAACGATGGTCGCGCCACTATTACTCGTGGAGTCTTTTGGTCAATTTAGGGTTTTTTGTCGCCGACCTAAAAAGAAAGAGATAGCAAAAAACCTAGGTTGCTATAAATATAATTATATAGTCTTCTTTAAAAATAAAAAATAAAAAACTTAAATAATCCTTTAATTATTATTGATTATTATTAAATAACCATCTCATATAAGAGTTTAAGTCGATAGGTTAAACCCTAGAATATAATTTATATTAGTCTCTAACACACTCCTTTAAGTGAAAGCCCAACATTTGGGCTTAAAACTTGCACGAGTTCACATTGCCTTATGCTTAATACTTGAAAAATTAGGAATTGTGAGATTTGAACTCAAGACTACATGATCAACCAAGCTCGATACCATATTAAAGTATCATCTCACCTAAAAGCTTAAACTCGATAAATAATGCCCTGGAATATAATTCATATTAGTTTCTAATAATCATACTTAATTAAGTACTATTTTGTAATAAAAAATTATATGAAATGGACAAAAATGATTAAATTATATACGGGTTTACAAACACAAAATTAAACATAGTTTTTGAAACAATAAGGACTAATTAATCAAATATTTTAAACTACAGGGACAAAGTTATAATTAACTCTCTCTAAGGAGTTTGAACGTAAATAAAAAATAAAAAAACCACTAAAGTCTAAAGTAATAAAGCCCGATTCATTCATCCATCTAGGGTTTTCTTTCTTCCTTTTCTTCTTCTTCTTCGTTGTCATTTTTTTGGAAAAATTAAAATAAAATAAAATAACATAAAAGAGAAGCCATTGTTGACTTTTGTTAAAGCTTGAAGCAGGCATGGAGCCACACCACATCCCGGAAAATGACAGGCCTCAACCTCTCTCCGGAGATGGAGCTAGCCCCGGGTAATCTGTTTGTTTCCCGAGAAAATTAGAAAATAATATCTACATGCTCAAATTTTAGCTTGATGACACTGTAATTGAGGCCTCTATTTAGTTCTTAGAGTTATGGGATTTGAAAGAAAGGAAATTTGCGGTTATTTGTTAAGTTGATTTCAGTAATGTTTTATCTCTCCGCCTTTCACATGAACTAACGGGGAATTGGGTTTCTTTTTGTTTCTTGTTTTAGTTCAATTGCTTTAAATTGTTGGTGGGTTTCTCTTATAATTGCCTGCATTTCATGGACGAGAACCTTTTATATATAAAAACTAGGAGAGTTTGGCTTAATAATTAAGCCCTATTAGTGTAGTAATGTTCTTATTTTATACGTGTATTATGAATCAGTACCAAAAAGGAAAACAAAAAAAAAACTATTCTTTACCACTGCTAGGAATGTGGTGCCTATTATGCTCTTTGAGGCGATATATATAAACCTTTTGGAAAACTTTTAGCTCTGAAGTTTGTTTGATTTTTTACTTACCATTTGTTGCAGAAAAATTTTCATTGGAGGTTTAGCAAGAGAGACTACTACTGGTTAGTTTATCTGTTATGTGCCAATTCACTAATGGAGTTTATTTATTTTCAGTATTGTGTTTTTTGTTTGCTTATTATTTTTCCTATATTTATTATGCAGCACAATTCATCAAGCATTTTGGTAAATATGGCGAAATTACGGATTCTGTGATAATGAAGGACCGGAAAACAGGACAGCCTCGTGGATTTGGCTTTGTGACCTATGCAGATCCATCTGTTGTTGATCAAGTCATTCAGGATACTCATATTATTAACGGGAAACAAGTAGGGTTTGCTGTGGTGCTGATGTTTGATTTAACTGATGAACATTATCTTTTTTTTCCCCTGTTTTTGAAAATTCAGTAAATGTAACATGATGATTTGGTTTGTTGACCTTTGTTGTGGTTTTCGGATTCTTTAGGTTGAAATCAAGCGAACAATACCAAAGGGAGCTGTTGGGTCTAAGGATTTTAAGACCAAGAAGATTTTTGTAGGTGGAATACCTGCAGTGGTGACTGAAGGTAATTTAAGCAGTCGTATATGGTTACCTGACATCACAGTGGCCATCGTTTTGACTGTTCATGTATTTGATACATCTATTGTAATGGACAGATGAGTTCAAGGAATTCTTTACACAATTCGGAGAGGTTACAGAACATCAGATCATGCGGGACCACTCTACCAATCATTCTCGTGGGTTTGGATTTATTACATTTGATATGGAGCAGGCAGTTGATGATCTCTTGGACAAAGGAAATAAAATTGAGCTGGCTGGAACTCAGGTTAGCAGATGCCAACTGTAATTAGCTTTGATTTATTGTCCCCTTTTCATATGTTTTTAAAGACAACATCCCTCTCTACACGTGCTTGAATCTCCATTAAATTTACTTCAGGACACAGAATAGTAGCTAGTCCATGACATGTTAGTGATACTCTACTGTCACTCTCCTATTCCATGGATTTGTCCCAACAATATGAATAGCAAACTTTGAAGAATGTCCAAAACTCGGTAGACATGATTGTTAAGATAATCATTACTTGTTATTTTGCTCAAGAACTGTATGTGGTATTTACAGAGAATTTAAACCATTTTCTAATCAACCAAAACCATATAGAATCCTTACTTGAAGAAGAGTTGGTGGAGGCCTACTTTCGATGAGCTTCTTCTGGTACATTGTCGCTTGCAATTGGCCAACTACATTTAGTTTTAGATATACGTAAGAAAGGGTGATGCTAGAGATATTGACACTTTTAATGAATTGGCATTTGACCATTGACAAATTACTAGTGACGAATTTACAAATTTCTTAGAAAAGGATTAGCTAAAATGTCAGCATCTTTAGCATTATTCAGAAGAAAGCATGCAGCGTTGACAGAAATTTAAAAGGGGGCATTTATGGCTGGGTTTTACTTGTTCAGTTTGAACTTTTCCGTTGGGAAAACCAGCAGAAGCCTTTCAAGCGTGGACACCTGGGATCTTTATTTCTTACTGTTAGCTGATGCAACATGTGTGCATGTGAATATACTCGATAGAAAGTCAGGAAGCCTTCTGCATCCATGTGCAAATGGAATGTAATGCTTATAACATCATCTAGAACTCTTCAGCACACAAACATTTTATCACAAAGCTGGAAACTGGTTGATTAGGTTGGACTTCCTTGTACTTTCACAAGAAGGAAAAAGGAAAAAAACAATGAATTAAAAAGAAAGAAAGAAAGAAAGAAAGAAGGTAATAAATTATCCTTTCCAATTCCCAAATTATAAAACTCTAATTCATCAAAACTTTCTTCTCCTTGCTAGACAATCATGTCCTCCACCAAACATGCACGATCCAACTTGTATAAAATCTAAAATTGACAGATGAACCCATCATCCTCGTCATCCCCTTCATTGTCATCTTCTTCTTTCTCAGCCAAGTATGATCATGAAATTGCTTCAATCTCATTCTGCTTTCTCCTTTATGAACTCAGTCTCTTTCTGACTCTCAACATAATAGATTGGAATACCTAGATTTGGGCAGTGAGAGTGATGACTGCAATATTGATCTTCGGTCTATGTTTTAGTTGAGTTTTTGTGGAGGTGGTGGTGGGTTTGTGATTTCTAGGATCTTCATATTCTATGGTGGTGGAGAGTTTTGGTTTCTGGGTTTCTATGCTATATAATGGTGGTGGTGGTGGGTTTGTGATTGATGGGTTTTTATGTTCTAGGTGGTGGTTTTGAGCTGTCAATTTCTGGGTTTTAATGTCCAACAATGGTGTTGATGGGTTTATTGATTTATGAGATTTTATGGTAGTAAAAATGGGTTTGCAACTGTGCTTCCTCTCTAATTGTTAGTCATGGAAACTATAGTGATTATGTGTGGTGGAGTGATATTTTGAGCTATCATAAACCATCTAAAATCTTTTCTTGTTAAGTACATTGACAAGTTCTTGGTTGATTTAATGGGTTATTTGAAAAAGTATTCATAGTTTGTTATTAATCAATCTAGGGTGACTAGTACTTGCCTATTGTTGTTTATTATTAAGAAATTATTGGAAGGGTCTGTTGCAATGTTGTTTTTCAACTTAAAAGACTGCTAACTGAGAAGTACTTAATCCCATATCATTTTTTAGAAAACTTTTCTGTTTTTCTTTTGTTAAAGCATAGTGAATCCTCCTTTGACTAAGAGAGACTGAGTAGTGGGACCTGCATGACAGGCCATATCAGCACTTAATGTCTAGTTTGAATGGAGGGGCCTAACTACAGAACAGAACTTATATAGGAGGATCTGATTAAGAAAATTTATTGACGAGGGACCACATTAAAAACATTATGAAAATAGAGGGATGTTCGAGCTAATTAACCTAGCTGGAACACACTGACAGATGCTAGATAAAAATAGAGGTGTCACTAATCAAGTGTATAAGTGTTCATATTTTAGAAATTTATTTACCCAAATAAGGTACTTTGGCCAACAGTTTGTTTTTTCTTGTTGTAAGATGTCTGATTTCTTAATGTGCGGAAATGTAGGTGTAATTGGACTGTATACAAATAACTAGTTCAGTTTTGTGGTAGGAGTGGGGATGGGGGAGTAAAAGTTGAGGAAATGGGTTTCGTGTAGCAATAGTTAATCTACATAGCCTCCATTAATTGGATGTTATGTTTTTTATGCATCATCTTTTGTTTCTCCAAATTATCCTGCTCTCTTCTAGGTGGAGATCAAGAAGGCTGAGCCAAAGAAGGCTAACCCACCTCCACATTCATCAAAGCGTTATAATGATTCAAGGCCTGCATATCGTGGTGGATTTGATGAAGCTTATGGTGGATTGGGAGGCAGTGGATTTGGCGGCATTGGTGGTTATAGGTCAGGAGGGACCTACGGAAGTAGAGCTGGTGCTTATAGTGGATATGGTGGAGCTGAATTTGGTGGCTATGGAGGGTATGGAGTTGGCGGTATTGGTGCTTATAGCAGAGGAGAGCATTCTTTAGGATATACTGGTCGTTATGGAGGACTGTTCAGCAGAGGTTATGATTTAGGTGGTGTTGGTTATGGTGGCCCTGGTGAGAATTATGGTGGATATGGTGGTGGCAGTGCTGGTGGTGGTTCTGGCGGGGGCTATGGAAGTAGTTATGATGCTGGCCTTGGAGGTGGCTATGGAGGTAATAGTGGAGGTTCCATGTATGGAAGTAGAGGGGGATATGGTGGTGCCTGGAGTGGTAGATATCATCCATATGGAAGGTAGGAAGCATGTACTAGGAGTCAGTTCATCTATTTTTTGTTCCTTTACATGTACTAGGGATCTAAGAGGCTTTTTCCTTTTTATTCGTGTTTTAATTGACATCCATAAGGCGCAAATTGTGAAGAAGCATGTACCCAAAAATTGTGAAGGAGCATGTACCCTATTCTGATAGTTAAAAGAACACCTAAACTTAAAGATGTTGCAATCTTCCATTCTTATCCATATTTCCTTTGTTATTGTTTTTCCCCTTTTTCCTTAGTAGGCAAATTCCGCTCGTCTCAATGAAGGATTTATTTTACCCCTCTGTAAGTGATACAATTTGCACTTTCTTGGACTAGGACCTATTACAAAAGTGAATGGTTATGATGATTCCTACTTTTGCTACCAAATCTTTGCCCTGAAGGCTCATTGAATACAATGGAATGGCTTTTTTTAACCAATAATTCCTGTGTACATTTATATGCTCTTGTTGTATGCTTATTCCTGACCATTAACTCCTGTAATCGTTCAGCCTTTTTTTTTTTTTTTTTTCCTGGGACTGAAGTTTGGTTTGACGCCCAACGACCAGGCGCTTTCATCTGCTGTTTTATTTATTTATTTATGTTTTTTTTTTTAACACTTGTGGTTTTTATATTATTGAAGGACAATGTCTTGCGATTTTAATACAAGTTAATTTCAATATCAACAAAGCTGGACGATTCTCAAAAAATGAAAATTAAAATGAACAAATTGGAACAAATTAAACCTTAACTAAGGCCCTGTCTCTTAATAAAGCTTCTGCAGCTTTTCTTCCGGAAGCTAATGCGCCATCAAAGGTAGCAGAAGTCAAATGATCGCCACACAAGTATAGGCCTGACCCCATTTCAGGATTTTTCATCAAATTAGTAGGAGGGCATTGGTTTGGCTGTGCAAATCTAATCTTATATGTTTTCAAGTGCTTCCATGACCCGACTATTGAGCCTCCAAACCAACCTGATAGCTCTAAAATTACCTTATTTATTAGATCATGGTCAGATATATCATCGAACAACCCGATCAGAGACACTGATACTAATGCCTTCCCAGGTGGACCATAGGATGGAGCTACATTGGTTGCAAAGAACATGTTATTTACAATTCCTTTGCCCGAACCATTAAGTAACAGAACTGGGTCTTGAACAGGTATCTGAATCTGGTCTGCTGAGAAATACAAACACACTGTACTGCGAGCAGGTTTTTTACTTTGAACTGGAATACTGTTAATTCCCATTAAAAGCTCATTAACGTGTGGTTCTTCAACAGCCACAATTACTCCAAGCTCGCTTTGTATAATTTCTCCATTTTCCACCCTAACGAAGGGCATTGTTATACTTTGATCCTTGTCTAGACCGACAGAAACGACTCTTGTATCCAACAAGATTGAATCAGGTGGCAACTTAGATGCTAATTGATTTGGAATGGCTCCGATTCCATTGGCAGGAAGCGTATTGTTACCGAGAGCTAGACATTTGAATATAAAGTAGAACAATCTTGAAGTAGTTCCCAGCTCTTTATCAAAAAATATGCCACCGAAGAAAGGCTGGAAAAAGCGTTCTACTATCGAATCCGAAAACCCAATTTTCTTTAGGAGATCAATCGTAGGAATCTCGTCAGCACGCATAATTTCATCATCTGATTTACTCAGGACCTGAATCATTGTTGACGCGATAAGTAACTTATCGATAACAGATCCTATGGGATTAGTCAGGGACTTGACAGAATCAAAGAAGTGGCGTAAAGGATCAGCCACAGTGTGGAACTGACCATCAAAGTAAATGCGGGCACCTGAGTAGAATTTCTGTAGATCCAATGCTTGATAGTCAAGAAGTTTTTGGGCCTCAGGATATGCAGTAATGAAGATTTGGAAGCCTCGGTCAAGGAGGAAGCCATCAACAACGTCAGTCCTAACTCGGCCACCAACAACATCAGAAGCCTCTAGTAGGAGGAAGGGGATGTTTTGGGAGTTAAGCTTGGTGGCGGCAGCTAAACCTGCAAGGCCGGCTCCGATAACAATGACTCCAGTTTTTTTTGTGTTCGAAAATTGCTGTTTAGGAGAGCTTGGGGTGGGGGAGAGTTGCGTGGATGCATGGGCTATGAGTCTGAAAGGAAAATGTTTTTGGGAAGATGAGCTGAAGAGAGAATGGGCAAGAGTGAGAGTCGTCATTGGATGAGCCTAATGCTAATGCAAATGCTATTTCTGTTTCTGTTTCGCAAATAGCTTATCCAATTCTCTTATCCAGTTCAAGTCAAGGATGGGGTCTTGAGTTGGTATATTAAAATTTAATATGAGCCTTCAGATTTGAAAAAGCAATCCCATCCGTTGAATAAAAAATACAAGTTAACTGGTAACTTAAAGATTCGAAGAATCTGACAAGGTTAAAAGAGTGAACTTCTTTTCTTTTCTTTTCTTTTTTTAACCTCTCCATCTTCTCCTTTATTCCACTTCTGTTTCACCATAAAAAATGCTTGATGCAGTGGAGCTGTGGGTATCTGAGGTTGAAATTGGTTTTCCCCTCCCTCTCTCTCTCTCTCGTTTAAATGTAATTGGTACAACTACCTTTTGGGGACCAACTTTTTTTACGATAAAAATGGAAAAAACTCGGGGTTGATTATAAGAAACTCAACCAACCCTTTTTTTTTCCTTTGGACCATGACTAAAAAAAGGTCTATTAAGCGAGCACATTGGCTAAAAAAAAAATTAGAAAGTGTAAATTGAACATGTGGTAAGAAAATAAATTTATCGTATGTTAGAATTGAATAATAAAAAACAATAGTTAGACGTTTGAAGTAGTTATTCTTTTATGTTTTTTGGACAGTTATTTTTTGAGTGATATAAACATACAATGAATCATTGGTAAAACTATCCGATCTAGATATTTTATAATACTCGAGGAATAACTAGTGACATGTATCGTAGTTACTTCATAGGTCTACTTTGAGGAGAGAGATAGACACATAAAAAGGACAGAGAATTACATTTGAATCAATTAAAAGTGATAAGAAGATTTTCACGTTGGCTTAATTTTTTTAAAATTTTCTCTCTTTTATTTCTCTTTCCTTTTTATGTGTCTATCTCTCTCCTCAAAGTGAACCCATGAAGTAATTACTCGTACATATCACTAGTTACTACTTGAGTATTATAAAATTTTTTGATCTGGATCAATCAATAAAATTTATATTTTAATTATTTTAGCATTATACATTAGAATTAATTTTAGTAAAATCTTAGTGCAAATCTCATCATTTTTCTCACAATTTGTGATTGGAATGGACTGACCAAATCATATTAGTTTCATCATTTTATTGTTGATTCGCAATAATTGACACGTCTTCAACGGGACATTTTAAAATGGGATCATATATAAGAAACTAGCCGATTGTCGTGCTACGTTACGTGTCCGGTATAACAAAATTATTTTATAATTTTATAATTTTTATTTAATTAATTTTTTCTAATGTTTTTATAAATTTTATGCTTAAAAAAAGACATAAATCATTCTTCTTTATGTGTTGATTTTAAAATAAAAAATTATAATAATTTTTTATTTTAACTAAAATATTAATGAAGAATTAAAAATACTTTAAAAAATATTTTTTATAATATTTTATTTCAAAAAATAAATTTATAATTAATGAATAGACTTTTATAAAAATTAACAAATGAAAAAAAATTCTTATTTAATGTTGATGAGAAGATTAATTTTTGAAATTATCCAAGGAATGTCGCGTATAGATAGAACAAAATTATTTCAAAATTTTATAATTTTTTCATTAATTTTTTATTTAATTATTACTACTTTTATTTTTTCTTTTTTTTCATAAAATTTTTACTTAAAAAAACATGATTTATTCTTCTTTATACAAGAATTCTTAAATAAAAACTTGTAATAATTTAAACCCGAAATATTAATTAAGATTCAAAAATAAATACTTTAAAAATATATTCAAAAAGTAAAGTTACATAGACTTGCATAAAAATTAACCGATAAAAAAATAAAATTTTATCATTATTTAATGTTGTTAAGAATATTTTTTAAAAAAAATATGCATTTGATCTTTATATATTTATTGGTTGGTTGAATAATTAATAAAATTAGCATAAAAACTGTAATTGAATAATTGGTTGGTTCCTTTAAAAAATTATTTTAATTATTTTATCTATAATGTTAAAAAAATATATTCGTAATAAAGAATTTATATTATGTTATAGTTAATTTTTAATAAAAATAATAATTCAATAGTTTTTTTTATATGTCTAGACCATACCTAGTAAACTCGAGATAAATTATTTAAAATACACTTTTAACCTTTTAGAGTAAAATAATTTTATATTTATATGCATGCAACTATCATTTAAAAATTCTCATAATTCATGACATATAGTATACCAATTTATTTTTTTAAAAAAACGATCATGTTTTAAAATTTTATTCTAAAATTCAAACATAGAGAAAAATAAATTATATTTATCAGTAAATAAAATTTTATATAAAAAATATTAATTGGATGAGAATTTTCATAAAAAATGATAAATTCAAAGAATAAAATTTAAATAATAAGAGTAATATAAGCTAAAGTATATGTTAATTATATATATGCACACACACACACACATGTATATATATATATATATATATATATGCGTTGCGTTAAATGAAATAAAAAATGAAAGCTAAGGATTGAATAAGATGTTACAAGCATAAGGGATAAAAAAAGAAAAAAAGAAAAAGTGTTAAATTTGCATATTAATGCCAAAAAACATACAAAAAAACCACATACAAAATTTCTTAAATTGTCATCTAGTAAATAATAATTTTATGTATATGAAGAATAAGTGAATGAGAATTTTAAGCATATGAACAGTTTGGATTTTAGCACTACATTGCGGATCGAGCGAAATATATTTATTTCAGTTTGATAACATATATTATATTGTCGGTTAATTAAAATATATTAAATTAAATATAGAAGATAAAATTTCATCTAATTTTATAATTTTTAATCAAAATTATATATATATATATATATATATATATATATATATATATATATATATATATATATTATGTTTTGAATAAATTTTGAAGTCAAAAAAATATGATTTGTTCTTTCTTATGCATTTACTCCTAAATAAAAACCTACAATAAATAAATTTTAATATAAATTTAAAAAAAAAATCTTAATATTTTTTTCATAATATTGCATTGAAGAAATAAAGTAACAATTAATATAAAAACATGTATGAAAATTAACAAATGAAGCTTTTTTACTAATAAGAAATTATTTTTTTAAATATGTACATTTGATATATATATATACAAAATAATGAATAATATTAGTACACAAAATTGTATTTGAATTATTAGATGATTATTCTAAAATATTATTTCAATTATTTATTTTAAAAAATTAATTTTAAATATTAAAAAAAATCGTAAATACTTGGTATTGTATGTGTAGATGAATAATTGATTTTTAATAAAATCAATGACTCGATATTATTATTTTTTATACATCATGGTTGTACTCAATGGGTGAGAATGTACAGCATAAATTTAAAAATATTTAAAAAAATTAAATTGTAAATATATATTGAAGTTAATAAGTGCAATAAAAAAATATAAAATTGATTTTGATGAAATTTGATTATATAAAGAATAAGAAAATAAAATACATATATTTTATTTTTAAAATTTGATTATATAAAAATTAAACAAATAAAAACATATATATAAAAAAACTTATTCGAATCCATACATAGAGAAAATAAATCATATTTATTAATAAATAAAATTATATAAAAATAAGAATAAAAACTAACTTGATGAGAATTTTTATAATAAATCGAAAGATCAATTTTAAACAATAAGAGTAGTATATATTTATTCTAAAATCCAAAAACATATTGTATATATTATATAATTGTTAGTTTGTGTGAAAAAAAGTAATGCTTGATTTTTTAAAATTTTAACACCCAATTAAAAAAAAAAAGGAACATAAATTGAAGGAAAAAATCGAAGGAGAAGAACAAAAAAAAAAAAAAAGCATGTGTAGTGCATCACTGGGGGATTAAAATTTTTATTTTAAAATTTTAAAAACCAAAATGAAACAACTTGAAAAATAAAAAAAATAAATAAAAAACCTAAACTATAGTAAATGAATACCGATTTATGAGGGGATGAACAAGTGAAAATCATTATTCAAAACCCTCACTTTTTTAGTTTCTTTGTAATACAATCATAAACCAAGGCTTAACAAATGATGACGTTAGGTGCTACTATTAATGGCGGCCATGAACAATTTATCGCTAATCACGGCAATGACCATGATGAGGATCCACGACTCGGATTATGGCGAAATTGAACACTATTATTGGGAAGTTTGCTAACAAGATGGATTCTACAAATGTGAAATTAAATCAAGTAGTCCAAGCAAACAATAAGGCTATCGTACAAATCAAAGAGGCAACTATGAGCCATTTCGCGAACATTAGGATCCCGACAACCTAAATATAAATGTCTCTAATCGGGTGTTAGAGTGGATGCATGGTTTGGGTATCTAATTCTATTATTGAAGTTAATAATTCTATTTTTTTATTCTCAAGGTATTTCAAGGTCAAAAATCTAGATTAATTTTTTGTTATTCGATCAAACGTACAAGACAGACACATTTAGTTCTACTTTTAATGTTTCTTTACAAGCATTAGACAATAATCGTGTTCAAATGAACAAGATATGAATCTTATGCAATGAACTCGAAATTTGCCTTCGAAACGAGTAATTGTAACATCACAAGTACTTTTGGCAAATTTGAAGATAAAACAACGAGAAAACCTAACAATGGAGTGCCTATAACCACGATAGATCAAAACACCTCAACAAACCCACATTTAGGGTATCCTCCACGCGAAACCAACCACACTCCTAGGGTTAATAGTGTCCGAATTGGTTGGCAAAATGATAATTTTCACATTGCCCCACCAATTTTGCCTCAAAATCAAAGGCCTAACTCTCCTATGTTCCAAGAGAACCAAGGATTTACATAAAAATTTTCTATTAATTTTGCACCACATGACATAAATTTAATAGGTTACGAAACCAATTAATAGAAGAATTACAAAAGCAAGTTAGAATTGGATCGCCATGACAAGATTAAATCATAGACAACCATACCCAAAATGGATATAGCAAACATACTTTTTTAAAGAGGATTTAGATGCCTTAAATTTGCTGCATTTTTTTGATGAACATGGATCGTAAATCGTAGAGCATCCGGGAAAATTTGCCATATAATTTAGCGATGTAGATGACTATGTTAAACTCGTACTTATTGAGCAATTTTTTTATTGGTATAGAATATTCTAGGTATATGAATTTGTCACAAAATTCAATTCAAAATTGATAACATTAGAAAAGTTATTTCATTCTCAATTTTTTCAAAGTGAGACTCGAAGTAAGTATTTCTAAACTCACTAGGTTAGGTTATCTTAATTTCTAGGAGAACTCGCCTAACAATTTGTTAATAGATTTAAGAAGACAAGAAATAGGTGTTATACACCTTTGCTAGGTAAAAAAATTAGTTTGTCTAGTTAAGGGAGGGTTGACCATTAAATTAAGGAAACATTTTGAATATCGTGAGTTTGCTTGATCTTAACCAATTAACATCATGTACTACGAGATACAAGCACTTGTTAATTGAATAAAATCAAGTAAAGAACTCGTCTAGAGGAACATCCTATCAAGATCCTAGTTATAGTATTTATCAACATGATTTTATGTTTGAAAATGATTTCTATGAGATTGATATTGTTGAACTTGCACACAAATAATCTTATATTTACAAAACTTTGAAAAAGGCTAATAGGATAACTATTTATGCTCAAGCATTTGGTAATAGGGGGCAAATTAACAACAAAGTTGCTAATAATTAGCCTATACTTTTAATACTTATAAGAAAAACCAATTTTTGTTATGTTATTAAAAGAAAAGCAAATCAAATTACCATTCAGTCATGTTATCCCCCCTATTGAATAATTAAAAGTAAGGAAATATTGTAATTGGTATAACATTTATTCTCATACACTAATCAATTTTTTTCAAAAATAAAAAAATAAATAATAAAATTATAGAGTAGAAACAATAAAACTATAGCCAAACAAGATAACTTTTTTGTTTATCCACTCCTTAGCCAAACTATTAGCAACCCTATTATCATCTCTATTTATTTTACTAAAACTAATTGACTTTATATTATGAGCACAAGAATCAATGCTCATAAAAACATTATGAATTTTCTATGGCATCTTATTAGCACTTTGATGAACCCAAAGCATTGCATTCATTGAATTAGTTTTTATGATCCGAGTTCATCTCATGAGAAAGTGGTTGGATGAACTTGTCTCCAAGACTTTATTAATAGCTAGAATCTCTGTCTCATTGGAATCCTTAATACCAATTAGAAATGAGAAGATAATTAAGAATTTTTTTTTCATGATCCCCGAGCATCTCACCAATACCACAACTACCTAGTTTTTCCAAAGCACCATCCACATTCCATTTTAAACACCTAATTCTTAGCTTTGTCCATGTAGTTAGCTAGAGACTAGTAAATCAATTAGTCTATCACTAAATTCCTTCTAAGCTTCTTGCTAAATCATTTCAAGAGTAAGCAATCATCAATAAACCTTGCCTAACACGTAACTCTATGAAAGACTAAAGAAAAAGTGTAGTACTAATAAGGAGAATACTATTTAAAACTAAGTGATTTCTAACCAACCAAATAAACCATAAAAATGTACAAAGAACTAGAAACCATAATTTCTTTTGCATCCGACCATTTGCAAATAAGGACCAATTCTGAAAAAGACGATAGACGTTACATAACCCCACCATTTCATAATATGCGATCACAATAACCAAAAAACATGACAATGAAGCAACAAATGAGAGATTGTCTCTCTAATAGAATTGTATAATGAACATAAACTACTATCATCATTAATAAAATCAATAATATAAAGGGAATCTTTTGCATTTAGCTTGCTTAGAGTAGCTAGCCATACAAGAGCCTTGATCTTAGGAGGGGCTATAGATTTCCATACAAAAGAAATTATAGGTGAGACCCCATAAAGCAAAATAGAATCCAACATATTCGAATAAGACTTGACTGAATAAAAACCTCTATTGTCAAAGGTCTATATATGCCAATCTCCTTATTTTGAGTGCAACTTAATGCTTGAAATATAAGAGAGCAAATTATTCTCATAATTTTTTTCCCAAGACCGAAGCTCTTGCCTCCAAGCCAACTTCCAAAACCAATCTAAATTGTTCCAAAAATCCATTTCAACAATTGTACTAGATTGGTCAACATAAAGATTATACAAAATCAAGGAGATAGTTCTTAAAGCACTTGATCTAACCCGGATATCATTCCGAAATAAGGTTGTGCTACCATTAGCAAGGCAAAACAAGAACTTCTCCGAATTTTAATTAAGCAAAGGTCATTACCATTAGACATAAAGCATATATCTTTCCAAGTAAGGTGAAAGTTGACCGTAAAAAAATGAGATGCCATTGTTATAGGATGGTTTATATTTTTGTAAAATAAAAGATTGCCAACCTAGGAACTACTATCACTCAATCTCCAAATCCACTTGAACAATAAGGCTTTAATCTTTCATAAAATGGACCCAAAACCCACTCCACTATTTTTTTTAGAATGAGCCTTAATACTCCAAGTTACTCTACAAACTTTACTTTTATCCGATTCCCCACTCCATATAAATATCCTCTTTAATGAGTTTAATTTCTCGACTACTCTCACTCGGCATCTTGAAAAGAGACAAATAGTAAAGAAGAATATTAGATAGGGTTGACTTTATTAGACAAATTGTCCCTCCTAATGAAAAAAGCCTTAATTTCTAAAATTGTAGTGTTTCTAACCTTATCAATTAACGATTCCAAGATGAAAGGTGTCTAGGACTCGAACCCAAAGGTAATCCTAGATAGTTAAAAGGTAAAGTCCCAACTTTACATTTTAGAAAAGTAGCCATATCAAAGCTATAAGATGAGCATTTTTAAAAAGTTAACCTTCAACCCTAAGAACAATTCATACCCTCTAAAAATATGCTTAAGTTTCAGAAAAATTTCACATCGGATAAGCAAAACACAACGATACCATCATTATACTAAAGAAGACTAATGGATAAACCATCTTTTAAATTAATTTCATTAAAAATACCTTGTTTTACAACTCTATGAAACGAATTGAGAGACCGTCTACGGTAATGTCGAAGGGAAAAGAAGATAGGGGGTCTCCTTAACGAATGCCTCTATCTATGCCAAACTCAACGATATGAGAGCCATTTATCAAAACTACCAATCTAGCACTACTAATACACTACTCAATCAAAGATCAATCATTTGTCACCGAACCCCATATAACGCATAACTTTGACAATGTAGTTCTATAAAATTGAATCAAACACCTTTTGAAAATCAATTTTAAACAAAAAAACCTTGAATTCCTTATTTCTTTATACTATGAACCATCTCATTTACAGATCAATGCATGATCTAAAATTTATCTACCGGTGATAAAAGATGATTGATTAGCAATGATAACCTTAGGAATGACCTTTTTAAGTCTAATGGATAACATCTTTGTAATAATCTTTTATAAACCACTCACAAGACTAATGGGTCTAAAATAAGAGAAAAAAAAAACACCACTAACCTTCGAAATCAAAGTAATATAGACATTATTAATGCCCTAGGTCATCTTCCTAGTCCCAAAGAACTTTGAAACCATGTCAAAAATCTCACTCCTAATCAAACTCCAAGCCTTTCTAAAGAAGTTAAAATTAAAACCATCTTGTCGTAGAGCTTTGCTACCATCACAACTCTAAACGGTTATCTTAACTTCTTCCATAGTAACTAAGTCTTCTAAGAAAGAAGTCAAAGTGCTCGTTTAATCTTTAAAACCCATAGCTCTTTATATTTTGGACAAATTCCATACTAGAAACTTTAGGGTTTCCATAATATGTCTAGAGAACCGGACTCATCTGCAGATACTTTCGTCGAATCTCTAAAAGTGCATGTCCGCACTCACTGGGCCCTAAACTATGAACCATAAATGATATGAAAAACCCATGAAGCCCTCTACGTAAAAATCATGAAAGCCATGAAAACCAATATCCATAAAATTCTTCCGATTGCTATTGGAAAAGCTTTGACACAAAATTCTCTTTTTCATAACTTTAAATCATTTTCATAAACTTGGCATGCATATGCATTTTATTGTAAATACATAACCATTATAATTTCATGGAATGTGTGCCATGAATGATTTGCATTTATTCCATGATAATGTATGTTTTAACCACATTAATGCATCATAAATATTTCTTATTAAGCCATTTCCATTCCATTCAAACAATAACACAATTATACAATACAAGGCAATGCACTTCCATAATCATCAAAATCATAATTTTCACACATTATAAACACGTCATACACATCAATTGGCATCAAAGGAATTAAATTACAATTGAATTACAAAAAAAAAAAAAGAAGATAAACCCTAAAATTCCAAACTTAGGTCGAATGTTATCCTTAAATTTAAACCTAGTATTTTCTTTCAATTTCAACACCAATTTCTCATACTAATTCATCCAATTACATATTAATATCAAGAACTTAATCAATTTGAAAGTCATAGGTTAAATGTATACGTAAACCCTAAATTGGACCTAATGGGCCGAAACCCTAATTAAGGTAATCTAACTAATTTTCCAATGATAATACAATTTCTCATTCTAATTCACCCTATTATATCATTTTAACTTCAAATTGATCAATTAAACCATTAATAATTAAAAACACTTAAATCTTAATTTTCTTCTAACTTGGGCCGAATATGAGCATAGAGCTAATTAAGTAAAATTCTTCAATTTTTAAAGAAATTTCTCACTCTCATTCATCAATCCATGCTTAATCAACTCTTAATTAACCAACGATTCATTAAGTAAGCAAAGGAATCAAACCTCTAAAATTTCAAGTTTTGGGCCCAATGGGTCCTTAAGGCAATCAAAGAAAATTCTTCATTTTAATGTAATTTTTCACACCCAATCATCAATTCATACCTAATTAACACATAATCAAGTGATAAATCATCAAACCAAGCAAAGCATCAAAAACCCTAAAATTCAAAATTTGGGTCGAATGCTTTCCCTCTCCTAACCCTAGAAATTTTTTATTTTTTTTAATATCAATTTCAAGCTCAATTAACCTATTTTCAACTCAATTGCATAAATTTATAGCTTAAATTCATTTCCCTCAAAATTTCCTAACTAAGAACCATAATCCTAATTTTCAAAATTAAGGCAATCAAACATAAAATTAGGGCACCAAACCATCAATTGACATCAATTAAACACTTCTTATGGTGTAGGTGAGATCAACTTGCTCAAATAAGCTCTAATTTTTCCTTGAACGATTTGATTGTTTGAAAATTCCTTCCTCCCTCTTTTTCCTCTAAATTTGGCCCAAACTCCAATTTTTTCCCTTGAAGAATTTTGACCTTCTAGCTTGAATTCCTTGCTTAATTAAGTGGTTTAGAGTGTTTAGAGGTTTTTAGGTGAAATTTGGGTGAAATTCTTATGGAAACTTGGCAACATTTTCCCTTGTATTTTTCTATTTTCCTTCCATTTTTCTCATTTTCTTGCACCCATATTTATAGGCATAAATTTGGTAGACTTTTGATTTAATCTCCACCCTTAACTTGGTTCAATCCTTGCCCTTAGTTCATTTTAAAATCTTGGCCTTTCAATTTGTTTAATTTTAGCCTTCCATTTATTCTTTAAATTTTGACCCTCCATCTAACTACTCTCTTTAAATCTATTCCTTCCATTTATGCATGCATTAATTACACTCTAATTGTTTAGTTGAAAGTGGCAGCAAAAGGTGTAAAATTTCTCCCCAAAATTACTTAATTTTGGTCCTTAAAGTTACTAATCTTTCCTTTAATTACTCTTCAATAAGTCCTTTAATTATTCAATTGATTACTTTACGTCCTTCTTTAAAGGTTTCTTAACAACTTTTGAATTCCTAAAGTTCATAACTAATTTAATTTGAAAGTTTCAACTTTTAATTTTATGCAATTAGGTCCTTAATTTTCATGCAATTAGGTCCCTAATTCTAAAATTTTATTCCATACCTTTCCAAAATTCAATTTATTTTTATAATAAATTTGAAAACTTCCTAAAAGGATATAATCATCATTCACACAATATTTATACACTTCTTTAGGCCTTCTAATTAATTATTTAGTGTAGAATTACACTTATTTCTAAAGAAAATATTTTCTATTCATGAAACAATTCAACCAAGTTAATGAAATATTCCTACACACCCTAAATGATTTTTCTATGTCCATAGGATAATTTTCTTACACCTTTAAAGCACTCAAATTAATTAATTTACCTCAAAAACACTATTCATACATATAAAGTTCACATAAAATAATCACGGAACTTCAAAAAATTCATCCAATAGCATCGAATAATCTAACACCCCTCGAGCAAATATTCTAAGTGAACAAAACCTTTTTCATACACATTCGTCATGCTTAAAATAATTATTTCACATAAAAAGTCACTATTCATGCATAAAAAAAATCAACAAAATATTCATTAAGCATGGAAAGACCATTTTAATTGATCTTATTCTGATAACCCTTTAGGGATACCATGCCCAAAAATAATTTTCTATATGCTTTTAACATCCTTAAATTTATTGAATAATAGTTTTACGAGTGCGAGTTGTTACATAATAAGTATTATAAAATCATAAAAAAAAAATCAATTTTTTTCAAATTGTAATTAAGTTAAAATAATTAATAAATTATTATGTTAAAATGTGCTTTGAAGTTAAAATAAATTTGTGGTTATAAAATCATAAAAATGTATTTTTTTTATAATTTATTAAGTTAAAATAAATTATTTTAAAAAATGATTTCAAAATTTTAAATCTTTATTAATTAATTATTTTTTATTAATTTAAAATAAATTATAAGTTAAAATAAACTTTTTTAAGAAAAAAACTAATTTTATAAATTATTTTAAAAAAATTGATTTCAAAATTTTCAATTTTTTTTATTAATTATTTTAACTTAATAAAAATTTGAAAGAAACTGATAATTTTTTTAATGTAATTTTATAATACTTATTAATTGTCTTAAGTTAATAAAAATTTGAAAAATAGAACTTATTTTAAATAAAAAATTATATTTTTACTCGTTAGGTAACACATGTCACCACATGAATGGTTAAATGTAGTCAATTAATGGCATTTGGTCAATTTAATAGATGGAGATAATAAGGGGATTGATTTTATATTAAAGTCCACTAGTATAATATTTTTTATGCATTATATCCGGGTAGAGGATTATAATGAATTTTTTTATAATAGTATAGAGACATGAAGTGTATTTCGCTCAAAAATTGATGAGAAAATAAGATATATTTTTTTGAACAAAATACTATTAAATTAAGCATGATAAAAAATAGTCAAATAATTATTTAATTATTTTTAATGGCATTGAGACACTTGTCATTTAAACATTTGTTATGTACTATATCCGAGTAGATGGATTACAATAAAATTTTTAGAACAAGTATAGGAGTATGATATGTATTTAACCTATCAATTTTTCCATCTTATTCACTTTTTTTTTTTTTTTAGTTTTCTATTTTTAAAAATAAAAACTAAATAAATTTAAAAAACAAGAAATAAATGAAAATGATTAAGTTATACATAATTTTTTTTTAAAAAAAGGATTATATATATTGTTTTAAACTATAAGGACTAAGTAATGAGTTTTTCTAACCTATAGGGACCGAGCTATAATTAAATCTAGTAAAACTCGTGTTCTCCTAAAAATGGTGGTGACATTCAAGGGCTTTGAGCGTTAGTATAAAGGAACAAAATCGCAGCTAAAGTCTAAGACAATAGGCCCAATCCATCCATCCGTTTATCTAGGGCTTGCTTTCTTACTTTGCTTCTCCTTCTTTGCCATTCTTTGGAATTTTTTTTTTAAATAAAAATAAAAATAAAAAGAGAAGCCATTGTTGACGTTTCTTAAAGCTTGAAGCAACAATGGAGCCACACCACAGCGAACCGATTCACGACGGTGAGCCTAACGACGTTAAATCCACCCACACCTCAAGAGATGATAAGCAACCTCTCTCTGGAGATGGAGCTAGTCCCGGGTAATCTGCTTGTTTCCCGAGAAATTGGAAAAATAATCTTTGCTTGCTCAACTTTTAGCTTGATAAGACTGTAATTAAGGCCTCTATTTATTTCTTAGGCATATGGGATTTGAAGGAGAGGAAATTTGGGTGTTCTTTGTTAAGTTGTTTTCTTAAATATTATCTCTCTGCCTTTCACAGGAACCAAACAGGGAATTGGGTTTCTTTTTGCTTCTGTTTTAGTTCTATTGCTTTAACGTGTTGGTGGGTTTTCTTCTATTAATTGCCTACATTCTATAGAGGAGAACCTTTTATATATTTAACCTCATAGTATGAATGGAAAACTAGTAGGGTTTGGCTTTATATATAAGCCCTATTGGTGTTGTAATGTTTTCATTTTCTACGTGTATTATGTATTGGCAAAAAAGAAAAAAAAAATTCCAACTTTACCAATGCTAGACCTAGGAATCTGGTGCCTAGATGCTCTTTGAGATTGTATATATGAACCTTTTGGAAAACCTTTAGTTGTGAAGTATGTTTGATTTTTACTCAACATGTGTTGCAGAAAAATTTTCATTGGAGGATTAGCAAGAGAGACTACTACTGGTTAGTTTCTTTTTATGTGCCAATTACACTAATGGACACTTTTTTTTTTTTTTCCAGGATTGTGGTTTCCTTTTAAGTGCTTATTCTTTTGGTTATATTTGTTATGCAGCACAATTCATGAAGCATTTTGGTAAATATGGTGAAATTACTGATTCTGTGATAATGAAGGACCGGATAACAGGGCAGCCTCGTGGATTTGGCTTTGTGACCTATGCAGATCCATCTGCTGTTGATCAAGTCATTCAGGATACTCATATTATCAATGGCAAACAAGTAGGGTTTTGCTGTGGTGCTGATGTTGGATTTAACTGCTGAACATTTTTTTTTCCCTTTTTTTCAAATTGAATAAACTTGACGACTTGGTTTGGTTTGGTGATCTTTGTCATGGTTTCCGGTTTCATTTTAGGTCGAAATCAAGCGAACAATACCAAAGGGAGCTGTTGGGTCTAAGGATTTTAAGACCAAGAAGATTTTTGTTGGTGGAATACCTGCAGTGGTGATTGAAGGTAATTTAAGCAGTTGGTATATGGTTACCTTTCAATACAGTGGCCATTGTTTGACTGTTTGGGCATTTGATTTATCTATTGTAATGGACAGATGAGTTCAAGGAATTCTTTTCGCAATTTGGAGAGGTTACAGAACATCAAATCATGCGGGACCATTCGACCAATCGTTCTCGCGGGTTTGGATTTATTACATTTGATTCAGAACAGGCAGTTGATGATCTCTTGGCCAAGGGAAATAAACTCGAGCTGGCTGGAAGTCAGGTTAGCAGATACCAACTGATATCAACTTTGATTTATTGTGTCCTTTCCATATGTTTTGAAGACAATATCCATCTTTACATATATATGAACTACCCCCCGCAAACTTACTCAAGGACACAGTGTAGTAGGTAGTCCATGATGTGTTAGTGATACTCCTTTTCCATGGATTTGGACCAACAATATGAACAGAAAACTTTGAAGAATGTCCAAATCTCAGTATGCATGATAGTTAATATAATCATTACTTGTTATTTTGCACAAGAATCGTATGTGATATTTACAGAGAATGTAAACTGTTTTCTGATCAACCAAAACCATATACAATCCCCATTTGTAGAAGTTGTGGTGGTCTACTTCCAATTAGTTTCTACTTTGTTGTTTACAATTCGCCAAGAACATTCAATTTTAGATACATGTAAGAAAGGTTAATGCTAGAGATATGGACACTTTTAATGATTAACCTTTGACCATTGACAAATTACTAGTGATGTATGACTGATTACAAATTGCTTAGTAAAAGCTTTGTTAAAATGTCAGCATCTCAAACATTATTTTTGAAGAAAGCATGCGACCAGTAAGAGTTGACAGAACTTTAAAAAGGGGCATTTGTGGTTGGTTTTATGGTTGGGTTTGTAATTCAAACTTTTCAGTTGGGGAAACCAGCAGAAGCCTTGCTAGCATTGACACCTGGGATCATTATTTCTTACCATTAGTTGATGCTTCATGTGTGCATGTGAATATACTCAATAGAAAGTTAGAAAGCCTTCTGCATCCAGGTGCAAATGGATGTAATACTTATATCGTCATCTAGAACTCTTCAGCACACAAACATTTTGTCATAAAGCTGGTAACACACTGCAGATGCTAGATAAAAATAGTGGTGCCTCTAATCAAGTGTGCCTCGTAAGCGTTCTTATCTTAGAAAGTTAATTTACCAAACACCATACTTTGGCCAACAATTTGATCTTTATGGTTGTAAGATGTCTCATTTTCTCAATCTGCTTTCAAGTAGGTAGGTGTAATTGGAGTGTATACAAATAACTAGTTCAGTTTTGTGGTAGGGGTGGGGATGGGGGAGCAAAGTTGAGGAAATCAGTTTCTTCCATTGTATAGCAATATTTAATTTACATAGCCTCTGGTAATTGGATCTTGTGAATTTTATGCATTATCTTTTGTTTCTCCAACTGATGCTGCTCTCTTGTAGGTGGAGATCAAGAAGGCTGAGCCAAAGAAGGCTAACCCGCCTCCACCTCCATCAAAGCGTTATAATGATTCAAGACCTCCATTTCGTGGTGGATTTGATGATGCTTATGGTGGATTTGGAGGTGGTGGGTTTGGAGGCATTGGTAGTTATAGGTCTGGAGGGGCCTACGGAAGTAGAGCTGGTGCTTATAGTGGCTATGGTGGAGGTGAATTTGGTGGCTATGGAGGGTATGGAGTCGGGGGTATCAGCGCTTATAGGGGAGAGCCCTCTTTAGGATATACTGGTCGTTATGGAGGACTGTACAGCAGAGGTTATGATTTAGGTGGTGGAGGATATGGTGGCCCAGGTGAGAATTATGGCGGATATGGCGGCGGCAGTGGCGGCGGCGGCGGTTCTGGTGGTAGCTATGGAAATAGCTATGACACTGGTCTTGGAGGTGGGTATGGAGGTAATAATGGAGGCTCCATGTATGGAAGCAGAGGGGGATATGGTGGTGCCGGGAGTGGTAGATATCATCCTTATGGGAGGTAGGAGGCATGTACTAGGAATCAATTCATCTATTTTTAGTTTCTTTACATGTTCTAGGAATCTGAAAGACATTTTTTCTTTGGGTTTATATATGTTTTAATGGACATCCATAAGTTTCGAATCGTGAAGAAGCATGTACCCTATATCTGATTGTTAGAAACACCTAAACCTAAAGATGTTGCGATTTCCATTCTTATCCATATTTACCTTATCAGTTTTGCTCGTTTTCATTAGTAGTCCGCTTCCGCCTCTAATTGAAGGATTTATTTTTTACCTCTGTAAGCGAATCACAATATGCACTTTCTAGGAGTAGACCTATAACAACAGTGGATGTTTATTATTATTCCTACTACTATTGTTGTACCAAATATTTTGCCCTAATGGCTGGCTTTGTCACCGACTCACCAATACTTCCTTCGTGCATGTATTTGCTCACGTGATATGGCTATTCCTGACCATTAACTGTTGTAAAAGTTCGGCCTTTTTTGGTTTTTTTTTCCTTCCTTTCCCTTTCGTGAGACTGAAGTTTGGGTTTTGTTGTACTTTTAGGCTCGGATATACAATTTGGATGCTCATGATTGGGTCCAGTCCAATTATGTGATGATATGAAAATAAGGTTTAGTACGTGTTTGATAACCTATTTAAGTTGTTTAAAAACTTAAATTATAGTATTTAATATAAAAAGTTTGTTTGATAATTTAAATAATCTTATTTAAAATTTAAATTTAGTTAAAATTTACTTAATTAGGTAAGTTAAAGTTTTTAACTTAAAATTATTTTATTAACACGTTTAATTGAAAGATTTTTAAAACTTTTAAATATGATTATATAGTTTTTATATATTCTTGTAACATTAACTATACAAACCGATTGAGAAATGATCTTTACTATTCTCATTGTCGAAATAGAGAAGACCTCCATTATCTATGCATCCATCCATTATGGTAAACAAGTTATTAGTTAGAAGAAAGCCAAGTATCTCAATTATAAAGGTGGATTTTGTTATGTTATAAAGTGGCTTCAATAAACCTTATTGAAATTTATAGTAGTTTTTAATGATCTTATCAATGTCATATTGTCCTTGTTAATTTTGGGGCCATCAATGTCGTTTTGTCCTTGTTAGGAAGGCTTTCTTTTGAAATAATGTGTTTTAGATGGTTTGTAATTTGTAAAGCCATTGAATTTTTTACTCGTGTTCCCTAAAAGATGGATCTTGTTGTTCTTTTTTTTCCCCCTCCCTTTGAAAGACTATGCAAAAGAATATGAAGCATTAATCCCTTATCATAAAACATACTTTTGCCACTCTCCAAGCAAAATTGAAATGATCTAACCAAAATGTTCCCTTTCATCAATAAGTTACAAATTGCATCCTGTTTCGTGAAACAAGTCATATTATTTTTATACTTAAAATTGTACAAGTAATTCTTAAAACTTGTTTAGTCTATTTTTGTGATGGCATCCTATTGAAATGCCGTGATTAGATGACCTAGTGCTTTTCTTTTGTACAAAGTTGAGCATTTCTTTTCTATGATTCATATTCTCTATAGTTTTTTCGTGAGCTTTTTTTTTTGTTACTTTGTTAGTGCTATAATGAGAATGGTTATGTTGATATCTTGCTTGCATGCCCGAGTACTTATAGTTTTTCTTTTAAAATTTTTTGTAACTTTGCCAATTAGATCTATGTTATGATGATTTTTATTTCGATTCTTTTTGGTCTACTATTAGTCAAATGTCTTCCCCATTAGGTATTAAATCAAATCTTCATTTTGCCTTTCGATTTGTTAATCAATGGTTTAGATAAATCGGATATTAGATCATGTTCAATTTTTTATAGTTGAACAACATGTTTATGTGTTTGGACTCTTCCCATACAGACTAACGAGGGCATATTTTGCATTCTTGGAGGTCTTATTTAGTGATCACATTATGTTTATATTAAATTTGGATACAAAACCTTAATGCATATAGTGGTAATTAACACAAGAATAACAAAAAGTAGAGCCAAATAGCAAAACCAACCCGTAAAAGGCAAAAGAAAACAACTCCATACCTCCGTTACACATCCCCTCACAATTACCGGAACCGTACAACCGCCCTCTCAAGTCTATGAAAAAAATTTCCTAATAAAATATCCGAACCGTAATTTAAGATTTGTTAGGAAGTAATCTAAAGTAACCTCCGAAAAAAATCATATGTTGTTTAGTTGATGGACTTTTATTCTATACCTTTTTGCTATCAATGTTCTTTAATTAATAGCTTTTGTTTGCATGTTATATACCTTTTGGTTGCTTTTATGTTTTTAGGACCATAGTTTGATTATTTTTTAAAATGTGTTAGGGTAGTTTTTGTGGTGTAATTTTGAGTTCTAAGATTGTAGTAATGTGAATTTTGGTGTAATCATTTTATTATGTGTAGGAATGACCTCCGAAGATAATGTTAGAGCCAATTGGAAGGACCTTAAAATACTAAAAAAATTTTTTTGGATACATGTGTTGAACAAGTGAGTATTCTTGGAAAAAAATAGAGGGAGCTTAGAAAAAGAATCATGGGAAAATGTCGTGAAAGCATTTGAGAAAAAGAAATGCATTAAGTTTTCTAAAAACTAACCGAAGAATGAGTATACGTATTTGAAAAAGAAGTACTATGTATGGTCAAAACTAATAGATAAAAGTGGACATGATTATGATCCAGGTGACTAATACTATCAATTGGACTAACAAAAGTGGAAAGATTATGAGAATGTATTATTTCTTTTATACATTTCATTCTCTAATAGAGTTGTAAGCAATTAATCATATTATTGATTTGATATATTTATGTAACAGTACTAATAATGATGCAAAATAGTTTCTTTATGTTGGTTTATAATTTTTGAATGAGATGAAATCATTAGTTGATGGAATTTCAACCACTCGGAAAAGAAAGCTAGGGTCTTTCTAAAGATATAGTGCCTATAAATGGAGTTGCTTATTCAAATTCTTCTAAAGAGTCCATGTAGGAAAATAGAGTTTGTTCTTCAATGCCAATCGAACCAATTAGAACAAATTTTAAAGAATTTATTGATTTGGAGTCTAATTCTCCAGCTCCATTTTCAACTCCAAGTAATAAAATAAAAAAGTCTGAAAAATGTCAAAAGAAGAACAAGGATAATGACATTAATGATTATTTAGTGGCAATATTGAAGACCCCGAAGAGGGTCCGATGGATCCAATATAGAATAATGCAATAAGAAGGTAGATGAGATGGATACTTTATGAATGGATGACCCTTCATATATAGCCGCATGTATTATTTTTTATGAAAACAAAGCATTTTCTAGAGCAATGAATAAATCTTTCTCAAAGCTAAAGGAAGCTAGAATTGGATGGATCAAAAAGATTGCTAAAAAGTTGGCATTATTTTAATTGTACATTTTCCCTTATGATTTATGTTTAGTATTTTAGAATAATTTGTTTCGATCCGATTGTCTAGGATTTTTGTAAGAATTATAGTTTGAATAAAAGTACTCTAATTTGAATATCTTTCCTTTAATTAGATTTTTAGTTAATTTTTTGATACTCGCTTTTGTTTTTTTTTTTTAATTAACGGTATGTTGACGAGTAGGCAAAAAAAGAGTTTAAGGATTATTGTGTTGCTTCTTAAGAAGAACGGATATAGATTTGGCTCTTGAAGGACATGCATATATACTAGAGATCCTTCATGGAAATCCAACTCACTCGTTAAAAAATGTTAAGAATGAAATGAAAAAAAAAGCATTCTCAAATTTGTATGATTATTTCAAACAAAAATGTTGGTTGATCAAAATTGATGGTTGAGATATAATCATTATATTAAGGTTGAAGAAAAAATGGCAATGTTTTTGATAACTTTAAGTTAAAATTTTTGAATTTATACTCGTGAAACAAAAACCTAATCATTTAACTCAAACAATACATCACTATTTCTATGAAGTGTTGCAAGCAATGTTAAAGTTTGCATGAGAAATGGTTGTACCTACTACATTTTATCCAGATTTAAGTCAAGTTCAACATCATTGTCAACTTCGTTAAGTATTTCGGATTATGTATTTAACTTTTTATTTCTAATTTTATTAGTTTATGTATTTTAAAATTAATTGATTTTTTTTATATGGTACTATAGGTGCCCTTGATGGGCCTTTAATTCCTATTGTTATATCACCTAACCAATAAGTCCCATATAGAGGGAGAAGACGAGGAGATTACTATCAAAATGTTCTTGCGATATGTGATTTTGACATGATTTTTACTATTGTTTAGGTTGGATGGGAAGATTAAGACATGATTCGAGAGTATTAACGAAACTATGCATGACTCATCAAATAATTTTCTCATCCCTCCACCCGGTCGATTGTTTCCATTCTTATTAAATTCTTTTTATAGAAAATCCCCCCTAAGTTTTTTTTTATGATATTACTAGGTGTATTATGTCAATATTTTTTATATTTTTCATGCAATTTATTATATTAATATTTGATGGTAGATAAATATTATCTTTATAATGCTGCATATGCGCATACTAGAGGGTTTATGGCACTATATCATAATATACGATATTGGTTATTCGATTTTTGCTATGGTCGTTAATCAAGATCAAAAGAAGAATCATTTAATCATGCACATGTAAAATTGAGGAATGTTATTAAACTAGCATTTGGTGTTCTAAAAGCAAGGTTTTCAATTCTAAAGACAATGACCCTATATCCATTTGCAGTTTAGAGAGATATTGTTATTGCATATGTTACTATACATAATTATCTTTAAAGAACAATTGTTATTAATAACTTTTTTTTTTAACAATTTGATGAAGATTATGTAATGTATCAAACACCAAATGTTGCTGCAAATTTACCATTCATCGAAGGAGGAGTGCAAACACAAGTCGATCAAACATTTATAATTAATTTACAAGACCAAATTGCAAATGAATTGATTGATACTTGAGATTTCATTTATTATAAGCATGACACGACAATTAATGCTATCTTAGGCCATGTTTAATTTTTTTATTAATAATTATTTTTATTGAATATTTATTTATTTGAAATTTTCATGTATATAGTCTTAATATATTTAGCAATAATACTTATCAAACAACTTTATTATATTCAACACTTAATTTTCAATAGATATCAAATAGTTTTTCAGTAATATATTCAGTACGTAATTATTCAACACTTAAAATTCATTACTTAACAAATTCATCACTTAATTTTTTGTTTTATCAAACACCACCTTAGATTATTTCGTTAGAGATTGATAGAAAATATAGAGAGATTTTGTCTACGATTGAAAATCACTTCATGACATCCCACTTTTCTTATCAGTTAAATAAAAATTGAATTTTTTTTTCAAAATTCTCCATATGACAAAAATAAATAGTTAAAATAGTGGCAGCAAAGTTTGGGAGTAAAAGAACTCTTCACACTCATTACTATATATATATATATAGAACTATGGGTTAACATTAAAGAATTTTTGGTTGAAGGAAGCTTGTCTAGATTCGAGTAGTCAAAGATCATTATAGATTATTATTATTTTTTTAATGCATTGATACGTGAAGTGATCGCTATAGGATTCTAATAAATTTCTAATAAGAATTTGATAGGTATGTTCGTAAAATTTACCTTTTCACTATTATCTTTTATAATTTTACAGTTTTGACTCTTGACACACCATGCACTTCCATCTATTGTTTTATTTATTTATTATTATTATTATTGTCATTATTATTTATTGAACACACGTGGTTTTATATGAATGAAGGAACGTATCCTTCGATTTTAATAAATTTGAGGATTATTCATAAAATTATATTCTCAAGTGCTTCCGTGATGCCACCGTTGAGCCTCCAAACCAACCTAATAGCTCCAAAATTACCTCAAGGTAAGATACATCATCGAACAGCCTAATCAGAGACACTGATAGTAATGCCTTCCAGATGGAACATGGAATGGAGCAACTTTGGTCGCAAATAAAATGTTATTTACAATTCCTTTGCCTGAACCATTAAGAAACAAAACTGGGTATTGAATAGGTGATCTAATTCCGGTCTGCTGAGAAGTACAAACACACTGTACTGCTAAATACCGTTTAAATGCACGATTACTCCAAGGGCATTGTAGAATTTCTTCATTTTCTAATCTAACAAAGGGCATTGTTGTATTTTGATCCTTGTCTAGACCAAAAGAAACAACTCATCTATCCAACAACATGGAGTTGATGTAGGTGGCAACTTGTGTTGGAAAATAAAGAATAGATATTAACTGAAAATATGAATTTATCTCAAATAATATGTATTTTGGTTCTCTTATACATCTTTAGCTAACAAAAGGGAGACATATGCATAGATGTACACTAAAGAATACTAGTTAGTTGTCCGCTCCGCACTCTATGGCGAAAGGCAGAACTTGTAAAATTAAATATAAAATTATTTCTGTTATAAATTTATTAAAATATATTAAATCATAGAGAAAAAAATCATCTTATTTTTTAATCAAAATTTTGTATTGCATTTATTTTTATTTATGTTCATATATTTTTTTTTGTTAAAAAACATGATTTGTTCTTCGTTATATATTAATTTTTAAATAAAAACCTATAGTAATTTAAATTGAAATTTAATATGAAATTTTAAAGAACATTTTAATATTTTTTTTTCATAAAATTGCATCAAATAAAAAAAAACAACAATTAATATAAAAATTTGTATAAAAATTAATAAATGAATATTTTTTTTTCTAATTTGTGAAAACATATACATTTGATTTATGCATATTTATTTCTAAAATAATGAATAATATTAGTGTGAAAAATGCAGTTGAATTGTTAGGCGATTCTTCTAAAACGTTATTTCAATTTATTTATTTGAAAGAATTTAATTTTAGAATATTTAAAAAAAATTAAACATAAATCATTATTGAGTGTGCGGATGTATAGATAATTTTTAATAAAATTAATGATTTCAAATTTTTTTTATACATCATAATCATACTTGATAGGTCGAATGTGCAGTATCAATCAATAAGTATTTTTTTCAAATAATTTATAAGAAATATATTAAAGTTAATGGAGTATAATAAAAACAATTTTAAAATTGATTCGATAAAATTTTATTGTATAAAGAATAAAAAATAAAACACATGAATTTTATTATTTAATTAATTACTATTTATTAATTAAAAAATTCATACATATAAAAAAAATACTTAAAAAGAAAAAAAATTTGATGATAATTTTTATAAGAATGGACAAATTGAAGAAATCAATTTAAATAGAAAAAAATATTATTATCCGATAAATATTGGTTATAAAACTCAAAAATAATAGTATGAGTAGCAATCCCAAAAAAAAAAAAAAAAAAAAAAAAAAAAAAAACAATAATAAGTTTTTTTCTATAATTTTTGCACCCAATTCAATAATAATAATAATAATTATTATTAAAAAAAAAAACCTAAAAAAAAGGAAAAGACCCTGTGCATTTAGGCTGCAGAAGGAGGCGCAAGAGGTGATAAAAAACCAATGAACCTTGAATATACTAATCAGCTTTTCAAAATTGCATTTAATAATATTCAGGTCCCTAGACATCACACAAAGCCTAGCAACATTTGATCAACATGGTTACAATTAAGTGAGTTATACATCATTAATATTCCCAAATCTATTTGTTTTTTTTAAGGATAAAGCTCATCCAATAGATAAGGGATAAGAGATTGAATCCTAATCTAATCTGTTAGTTATACTGGTACATACCATTCATGTAACTTTAATATAAATATTCAAACGTATGAATGAAATACTATAAGTGATTTCAACATTGCTCATCAATTTTCCTTGAAATTAAACTCTTCCATTTACTATGGCTGACTCAGATGTTTCCTCTCCTATAAGGATACAGTCTCATTCATCATGTTGATGGATTGCAGGCAGCCTTACCTGAAACACTCAATGATGATGTGAATCCAAGCCTTCACTAAAATGCCAAAAAAAAAAAATAATAATAATAAATAAATAAATAAATATTTCAAAAATAGAACATCCGGGTCATGTAATTTAGATTTCAAAAATAGAACATACGGATCATGTAATTTTATGTGTTTTTTTTTTTCATTTTAATCAAGGGTATTTTGATAAAAAAAAAAATCATATAGTTGGAAAAATTGATAGGAAAAACATATTACATATTTTAAATACTTTTAAAATAAATAGGATGTGATTAAAAATTTAGAGACATATGAAAGATTTTGAGTATTATATAAGGATAGATGAGTATATTTATTAAAAAAAAAGATTTTTTTTTTATTCTTTTGACGAATTTGATAGAAAGAAAGTAAGAATTTTTTATTTGCAAAATATTATGTTGTTCTCTAGTATTGACTTTTATATACTACAATCACATAAAATTATAGTGTTCAAGGTGATGATCTCACATGATATTAAGTTTTCTACAAATACAAAGATTTTACATATTTTAGATTTTCGTTATGAGACGGATATAATTAAAAAGGTAACTTGTATTACTACTAATATTTTTGCATCTCAATTTCATGAAGAAACTTGAAAGATTATATTGTTTTTCGGTTATAATGAGTTATTTCGAAATTATTCCCATAATTTTTTCTCTACGACATAATGAGTTTTCCACGTAAATTTGATGTTTTTGTTATCGTGCTTTTGTGATTGAATTGTTTATTTTCTTAGTTGTTGTGTATGTTTAACTTGATTATTTTTTCACAAAACACTTTTTGCTTCTATACATCTGCATATATTCATATTCTTTTTGAAATATGTGCTTTTTTCACTTTTAAAAAATAAATACCTAAACTACAACAAGAAAAATTAATATTCAATACATAAAAAATAGTTTAAAAAAATAACAAAACTCTAAAATTCAAAAAAAACAAAAAATGAAATCATTCATAAGAAATATAAAACATGGAAAGTAGTGAAAATTTTGAAAAATACGTGTCATGTGAAACTTATTTCATTATCTAGACACATTTCAATATAGGAGACTTTATTGCCACGGTTTTTTTTTTTTTTTTTTTAACATTTCAAGCTTTTTAGAATTAATTTTTTAGTTTTGAAGTTTTTTTTTTAAATTAATTTTCTTTTTGATAGTTGTAGATGACGAAAAGACATGTGAAACAAAATGTATATATATAAAAACATATTAAAGCAAAAATAATAATAATAATAATAATAAAAGAAGAAGGACATAAGAAATTACAAATATTAAAGTTGGATAATTTAATCCAAAAAGAAATTCTAAAAAAAGAAAATCCAAAAAAAAAAAAATTATCCTCTCTCCTTGACCAAGTTTTTGATATTTTTTTTCTAAATTAAAGCTAAGCTAGGATTATAAGATTAATTACCTTCCCAAAATTAACATCTTTTTTTTTTCTTTTTCTTTTTGCTGTTAAAATGAAAAGATCTTTATATTTTTCTGGCTTTCCTTCTTCCACTCTATCAACTCTCAATTATAGACACACAAAAGAAAGAAACCAGTCGCAGTCTCGCAGAGAGAGAGAGAGAGAGAGAGCAGAAGAATGACAATGGCATCATGGAATTTAGGTGCATATCAGAAGGTGTGACATTAATCACCAATTCACAGAGGTTTTCTTTTTCTTTTTTCTTTTTATTTGATCCATTCAAGTTTTCTTACATATCATCATTTTTCAATAATTGCTCTTTAACTAAATTTTGGCAGCAGACACCAGGACTTCATGTAACATGCAGAAAGAAAGAAAGAGACAGAGATCATTCCTACCCTTATAAAGTGATTGAAATTACACCTCCTCCGAAGAATCTTGGTATCCGTTGCTTTCCCCATGTAAGTTTTTTTCTTTTGTTTCTTTCTGTTATCTTAAGATTTGTTTTTTTCATGAACTTTTCTATGTGGGTTTCTTGTGACTTGATAAATTAGAGGAAAATGCAATACAGTTGAGAATTACCAAATGATGCTTTGGGTGCATGAGAAAATGTTTCCCTAGATGTGAAATTTTGGCTGTGATTTGCAGCTACTTTGGTCTAAAATAAATCTAAGCAATGTTTCTGAATCCTATTATATATACATGTCTGTTCCTTTTAGAAAGAACTAATGATATGAATAACTGAGAGAGAAAACAAGTTAATGAATGCTTCAACATTCATTCGTTCTTTACATTATTGTTTGAACAATATTAAAGATGAATTTCGATGTGAGCTGAGCTTAAATTAAATGGGCAACGTAAGATGTTGCAAAATATGACAGAATTTGCAAAGTTAAATAATAAAGGGAAGGGCAGAATTTACAGCTTCCTCAATAAACTGAATAAAATGTGGGCAAAAGCACATCAGCTTATTGGAGAACTGAACGTACACTGCACTTGTTACTTCTTGCCTGATTCTTCCCGAGAGAAAGGTTTGGTGCAGATCACTTGGTGGAAAGAGTTTCTGATGTTTGTCCTAGGGTCCTCACTCCTTTCCACCTCTGTAGCTCTCCAGATGCAACTTGCTTGTAAACAAATTATAATAAGAAATATCCAAAATCATGACTTTATAGTGACACTACTAAGGAAAGGGCTGTGTGAGGTCGTCACAAGAGAAAAAAAAAGAAAAGAAAAAGAGAACTCAACATAAAGTTCGAATGGATATGTGTGTGTGTGGAAAGCTATTGCAAAGAAAAGTTGGAGGTCACAACAGATATAAAGGTACAAATCCCTGAGATACTTCACTTGCTTGCCAATACAAGAGCTGCTTTAAAGGAAAACGAAGAGGAAGAAAGATCAGCTTTTATCTTGTTTATATGCTGTCCAGGCTTCCACTGTTCCGTAAATGGGGGCTCCCCAAAAGGACATGTTTTTATAATTGAAGACATCACAGCACGTTGGATTAGGTTGGGGAAAAAGTTCAAAGACATTATTCTCTGTAGATCACATTATTGTTTGAAGGGTATTGGTTTTTTCAATCACTAAAGATATGCTGCTGATTTTACCTACTTAAATTAGTATAAATTTCATGTTCTGTATGACCTCTGAATTGGGAAAAGACTGATGGCTATCTTATGGGGTCAAATTATGAAACAATGAGCTGTTATTTGCTTTTTGTTTATAGTTTTTAATTTCAGATGGGGCTATATGATTTCTAGCTAACAGAAGAAACCAAAATATAGACACTGGTCTGTGTACCCTACAAACAGAAGCTTCAGTGATCTGTCTGTCCTTAGTCATCGTCTTTATCCATTCCAAGGGATAGAATCAGATCATGAATTCCATATTGCCATTGTGCATCAAAGTTTTCCAATGTTCATTTAAGCTGTTCTTTCCTGATGTGGCAGAATCTGCAGTGTGGAGAAAGCGTGACTATCGAAGGACAAGCATATACAATTTCAGCTGTAACTCATCGATACCAGCTTCGGAAGGGGAAGTATGAACCTAGCGAGAAGAGACTTGATGTTTTGTCGACAGGGAGATACATCCTGAACTTACATTTAGAAAACTTGCTAGAACAATCTTGATATTTTGTCTCTGAAAAAAAAAATTAAATTCAATCTTATATGTAGTAATGCCTCGATTATGTTCTAGTTTCTCAATCATTTTTCGATTGAAAATTGATCATCTTTAGTGTCAGAAGTTGGCAGATTTATAGTGTCCTGTCTTTGGTCATCATAGTTAAAATTTTGAAGTCTCTGCATACTCATTTATAAGTACCGTTTCTATATATATCTTGTTTCTTGAATCAAAATATTATTCGTGGATGTCAAAAGACTTCAGCGGTGAGTTTTTTTTATATTTGTAAGAAGTTATTAGTTTACTAAAAAAAGGTTGACTTAAGTGAAAATGCTCTAATGACTTAAGTAAATGATTTCGAATTTGAATATTTATATATATATAATTTTTTAGTTAGGTGTTCTTATCTTATGCGTTTGATAGAATAATAAAAAATTAATCTTAAAATACCTTAGAGGATAAAAATATATATATATATATGGGTTTACAACTTCTCCTGCCCGCTAACTAATCTAGAATTGATTGTGTGGATCTTGGATGATTGACAGGGACGGAATAGTCTAATTTTTGAGATCCAACAAAACACAGGAAAGTTTTAGGGGAGACACTGTGTGTGTGTGGACACGAGCAAGGAAATGAGTGTACTACGCTATGATATGATTGATGGCTTGAAAGGAGAATGATGGGGTGCCTTGCACTCTGAAAATCATTGTTTCAGACATGGTTATGCGATTTGTGACATTGGCCCTACAACTTTGGAGACCTTGTCGTCTTCATATCAAACTAATAAGCGTCAAAATCTTAAACCCCCTTTTCAAGGATAACACTCTCCCTCCTCATCTTCCTGCCTCCACTGGATTAATCATTAATTTGTATCAATTCAACGGTGGAAATTGCTTGATCGTATCATTTAGCACAAATTAAATCTCTTAATCTCATCCTTTGATCACACCAAACGCTCTCCTTCTCAGGTCAAGAAATGGTAGTTTGTAGGACCCACTTAAAGACCACTCAACTACCGAATGGCCAGCGTCTGCCCTGCAATTTCCCAAGAAAAACCCTCAGCGCAGGTGGTGGGACCCGCCAGCGGGAGGTTCTGGTCCCACTTGTCTGGACGGTGTCCTTGGGAAAATTAGCAATAGCGGGGGTTGGAGTGGGCACCCGCGTAACGTAAAAGACAGTTTTGTCCTTGATTAGCTCAACCGCGGGGGCATTGGATTGCCATGCGCCGGCATGACAGCCGGCCACGTGCTTTTGTTGGGGGTTCACGCCAGCGCATGTGAGGCCTCGCGGATGAAGTTAATGACATTGGCGCGGTTACTTAAGGCCATGTGAATGTGATTATCATTAATTAATTAAAATAAGAATGGGTAGTGTTTTACTATCAGCAATAAATGAATCACCTCATTATAGAAATCTGAAACCAAAACGTTCATGTTGCCATTAAAAAGTATATATATAAACGCCTTTCATGATGCTAATAAGTTAAAGTCAAATGCATGATTTTTTTTTTTTTAAAAAAAGTGACAGATAATGGAGAAATTGACAGCTATATAACAGATGCATTTGATTAGCATAATAGAAAAGATTGGTATCAAATTGAGAAAAATTAAAATCAATGTACTTGATTGAAAATAAATAAAAAATTGGCATACTACTAATGCAGTTAACCATGCTCGGAAACAATGTACTTAACATTTGATTAGCATTTTATGGTTTGTTTGTAGTCATTATGTTGCATCATGGTTTACACCTTTTTTCATATAAAGTTAATATAACCACTAAAAATGTTTAACATTGTATAATGGATCTCGTTCACAATAGAAACAAGGGTAATTAATGGATAGAATAGTATGTAGTTTTATACTTATCATGTTTTAGAGTGATTAAAATTTGTATTATGTATTTTGAAAATTGAACCTAAAATAATCATTTTTATTTAATATATTTAAGAAAGAAATAAAATTATTATTCTCATATGTTGAAATTTTATTCTATTTTTATATATAAAAAAATAATTCAGTATGTTCTTAATAATTGGCTTAATGTTCAATGTGTCATTAGATGCTAAAATGAGTTAATTATATTTTTGTATTTAAATGAGTTTCAACTATCTTTATGGTAAGTTTTTTGGTTAAACTATCAAAAAATATCACACGATTTGTACAAAAAAGTTTTTTTTTATCGAAATACACCGTCAGAAAAAAAAAAAAAACTTGCATACATTCAACTACGAGGCATTTAAAACAAAATTATGTGCAAGTTACATGATTTTTTTGATAGTTTGATGAGAAAAATTCATTTGAATAGATTGAAAACGCATTTAAAGTATAAAGATGTATCAAATATTAAAAATATAAGGACAAATTAAATATTGACATCATTATATAAAGATAAACTAGATTGTTACTTTTTTAAAAAATTCTCTTTGTCAAATACTAAGAATTATTGTCTTCGGTGAATTTTTTCTGTCAAATTATTAGAAAAAGTCATATGACTTAAACATAACTATTTTTATATATATATATAAAATGCACCTAAAAAATAATAATAGTGACTTGCATACATTCAGCTGAGAGATTTTTTTTTAAAATAAAATAAAATAACGTGTAAGTGATATGATATTTTTTGATAATTTGATCAGAAAAATTTATCATGAATATAAATTAAACACTCATTTAAAATACAAAAATATATCAATCACTATAAGATCAACTAGGTATTGATCTCATTATATCAAAATAGACTGCCTATTACTCTAAAATAAAAATTTTCTATATCAAACACCAAGAATTACCAAGTTGCTTCTAATAAAATATAAGTATCAACTAAATTTCGGTCAAACCAAAAGTGTATGTGCTCGAAATGAAATTACTCTCACTTTGATTTATACGTGATGCCTCGTATTAGCTAAGAATAAGTTATCGTGTCATCGAATTATCACGACGTGAAGTTATGAGTTATGAGACTCAAAGATAAGTAAACGTAGCTTTCTTCATTTCGTTCTGAGTGTCTGTGTGTATATATATAATCAAAGAAGGAAAATAGAATGTTATTTTTTCATGAGAATGACAAAAGGCAATAATGCGAATCATTAAAAAAAAAAAAAAAGCAAAAGAAAAAATTCTAGGCAGTAGATTATAGTTAGTAGCAATAAGTGATGGGGACACTCCATGAATGATGAGTGATGTGGCCCAATTTGTGTCCACTTAATTAGTAGGAGTCCTAAACTTTATTTACAAAAACAAGAACAAGAAAGTAGAGAAGAAGAGAGAAAAGAGATCAGTCTTTCATAGATAGGCTTTGTTTTCTTCTTCTTCTTTAAAATCTTTAATCCGTCCCTTCCTCCCTTCTTATTTCACCACTCCACTAGACGACGAAAAAATAACAGAAACAGCTTTCTGCAAACAAGAAAAGAAAAAGAAAAAAAAATTAACCACTATCATTGATCATTATTCTCGCTCTCTCTCTCTCTTTCTTTCTTTCTTGTTTGGATCGGATCTGAAGTACTTCTTCAGAGAAACAGAAAGGCACACACTCACAACAAATAACAAAGTTAGTTTACTCTCTGTCTTTGTGAACTGTTTTTGGCCTTTTGGGGTCTTTTTTTCCCCCTTTCTGTGTGTGTTTTGGTTGTAACAGTGATGCAAGGTGGCTCTCTCTGCATTGCCTTCTCTCTTCTTTAATCAGGTGTCTACTCTTTCACTTTCTTTTGCTTGCCTGTTTTGGTGCCTTAATTCATGTTATGTGTTTTGCTTTTTAAAGAACCAAACTTTACTTTACACGAACCAGCCAAATTGCTTGTTTTGGTGTTAAACATTTGGTTTCTTGATTTTTACCATCTGGGTTCTTGAGGAAATTTTTAGGATGGTTTTTGATTGGAGAAAGCAATGCAAAGTTTTTGTCTTTTTTCCTTTTATTTATTTATTTATTTAATGGGATTTGGTATCTTAGTGCTTACAATGCTTAAAAGGGTTGATTTTGACGTTCATTTGATTGCGGATAACGGTTAAATGTCTTGATTAACAGGCCACCTATATTGTATCTTGTTTTCTCCGTCATATTTGGCGTTTTCTTTAATTGTAATTTTCAGGAGTGGGAATGAGTTGTTATTTTCTTGTTTGAATTTGCATTACTATGTTGTTTCTGTCTATATAGTATCTGTAATAGCAGATTTTAGATATAAAAGCAATTTAATTCCAAGATTCTGTCATGTAATGGCTTGCTTACCATTCATAGCTACATCTCAGAACATTGCTTTCCTTCTTTGGGTTTCGGTGTCATAGTGCTGTTGTTTGAGAGATTCCATGGAGTCGTTTGTCAATGGGGTTGATTCTTCATCAAAGACTCACAATTCAGCATGCAGTGACCCGCTTTCCACGTCTTTCATACCTCGCCCTTCTCGGCCTCCAGCTCTGAAACAATCTAGATATGAAGTGGCTTCTTCCGGTGCATACTATGCAAGTTCTCAAAATCATGGCATCAAATCTGTCCACCATTCAAATGGTTCTGTAATCTATCCGAAGAATTCCCACAAAACAGCTCATGATAGCATCCAGCATGAAGAATTGCTCAATACGGCAAAATATTTCTTTAGTCCTCATAAGGGAAAATCTGAGTTTGCGAGGTTCACTGAAGTTGTTAGTAAATCAGCAGAAACTTCTCATGAGACTAAGGTTTCAATGGTGGAGAAAAATTCCTGCATCAAACATCCCATGGATGATCCAAAGAGCTCTAATTCAAGTGGCTCGCTTGATTCTGAAAGTACTGTCTTGGGTCCATCCGAAGCAGATGCTGGGCAGCTTCACGACCACATAGCATCCCAATCAGCTTTAAGCTTCTGTCCAAGTCCTTCAAACAGCATCTATACTGCCACTCTCTATGCAGAAGCCAAGCAAAGTTTCACCAACACAGAAGTAAGTGAAGAAGCAAGCATTGTTGAGAAGTCTGTTGAAAGTAGTGAAGTAAGCAACTCTTATGATAACGAGAGCAGGAAAATGAGCCTCTATAGGGGCAGCACTGATAGTGATGTTAGTGATGAAAGCAGTTCCAGTAGTTTAAGCAGTGCATTATACAAGCCCCATAAGGCAAATGATATAAGATGGGAAGCAATTCAAGCCGTCCGATCTCATGTGGGAGCATTGGGGTTCAATCACTTTAAATTGTTGAAGAGACTGGGTTGCGGAGATATAGGCAGTGTTTATCTATCAGAATTGAGTGGTACTAGGACTTGTTTTGCAATGAAAGTTATGGATAAAGCAGCTCTAGAAGCACGGAAGAAGCTTTTAAGGGCTCAGACAGAAAGAGAGATCCTTCAATCTCTGGATCATCCATTTCTGCCCACGCTGTATTCACATTTTGAAACAGAAAAGTTCTCTTGTTTGGTAATGGAGTTCTGCCCTGGTGGGGACTTGCATGCACTGAGGCAACGACAACCTGGGAAGTATTTTCCAGAGCATGCTGTCAGGTTACGAATTTTTTCTTATTTTTTCATGCTTTCGTATTTATATATTTGTAAGCTGTAACGTACTATATGCTTTATAACTACTGCAATCAAATCTATATAGCTTATAACTGTAAATTTTTGGTGTCTTTGAGGCGTCATTGGGAACATGTGAAATTTCTAGTTATGGCCCTTTTTCGTAGGGCTTGATGTAATTTCTTTTGGGCCAGATTTGCACTACCATGATTTTGTTGTCACTCTCCTCAGAAGTGTGTTAAGTGAGACCTTCTGTGCTACAGATCCTTTTCGGAATGGGATACTTCTTTATGTTTGAAAATATTCCCTTCTCTTTTTTCTTTTCTTTTTTCTTTTTTAATCGTGGAAAAAATTATATGAGAAACAAGGCAAAGCTAAACTGTTGGCACACACTATCTTGATAATTTAATTGTCTTAAGTCAAATATGTCATATGAAACTATGAAATATTGCCACTGCTAAGATATTTAATCCATGTTGTAACAGTATATCATTTTTGTACAAAGATATTCCAGTTCCTTTGATGTTCCAAGGGTCTCAAATCTTTAGTTTTGTTTTTTGTCCATCAGCAATAAAACTTCACGGCATTCCACATTTGCTAATTCTGTGCCTTTTTTTCTTGATTTAAGCTTGCCATGATGTGAAATTGAGCAATGATTTTTATGAACTTATTTGGATGTTTGTATGAATTTGTAATTGCATGCTTTGATTCCTGGGGAAATCTTTGGCATCAATCTGGAATCTGCTTTCCCTGACCTCCATCGTGATGATTTCAAACAAACATGGATTTTCTTACTTCCTTTTTTGGTCCTTTTGACTCTCTCCTTTCTGCATCATGTGACTAACTTTAGCAAGGATGTTATAAGTTCATATTTTCCTTCAAAAGTGTTTTTGTACCATCAGTTGGCGTAGTTCATACTGGTTTGAAGTTGTCCTCGACCAATTTTCAAACAAAAAGAAAACAAGGATTTTCACTAGGAAATTTTCATGAGATATTATGTATATGTGAAGTTTCTGCAGATGCATAACCCAATAAGCAATGAGTTGCGATGCCATTTGTTACAATTCTTTTTGTGTCGACAAATGTCAGTATTGATTATTATGATGGCATTTTTGAATGCCATTACTCGTTATTGTAGTCCATTAAAATACTTGCTATCTTTTATGCAGGTTTTATGTTGCAGAAGTGCTCCTTGCTTTGGAATACTTGCACATGCTTGGGATCATTTACAGAGACCTCAAACCAGAGAATGTTTTGGTGAGGGAAGATGGGCATATAATGCTTTCAGATTTTGATCTCTCACTAAGATGTGCTGTCTGCCCTACTCTGGTAAAATCTTCGAACTCCAGCTCAGAGTCGAAGAATTCAGCATACTGTGTGCAACCTGCTTGCATTGAGCCAACTTGTGTAATGCAACCAGATTGCATCCAACCAGCATGTTTTGGACCACGCTTCTTCTCAGGCAAAGCCAAGAAAGGTAAAAAGAGCAAGTCTAAGAATGAGATGAATCATCAAGTAAACCCTCTGCCTGAGCTCATTGCTGAACCGACAAATGCTCGATCAATGTCTTTTGTGGGTACGCATGAGTACTTGGCGCCTGAAATAATTAAAGGTGAAGGGCATGGAAGTGCTGTAGATTGGTGGACATTTGGGATCTTTCTCTATGAGCTTTTGTTTGGTAAAACTCCTTTCAAGGGAGCAGGAAATCGAGCTACACTATTTAATGTGGTTGGCCAGCCATTAAGATTTCCAGAATCACCTACTGTGAGCTTTGCAGCTAGGGACTTGATCAGAGGTTTACTTGTGAAGGAGCCACAGCATCGTCTTGCTTATAGACGGGGAGCCACTGAAATAAAACAGCATCCATTCTTTCAGAGCATAAACTGGGCACTCATTCGTTGCACAAACCCCCCGGAGGTGCCAAAACAAGCAATAATGGAATTTCTAATGAGAGCTGACGCTCCAAAAGCGCCCACAGCTGCAAATGTGCCAGGTGTTGATGTGAAGCCTTCTGGTAATTATTTAGAGATAGATTTCTTTTAGGTTTTGTGATTGGTTTCTCTCTTTGGACCAGTTTCCATCACCACCTCGTTGTATTTTGCCACAATGGTTCATTTTCCATTGTAAGGGTACACAAATCCACTGTTCCCTTTTCCATTGTAAGGGGATACAAATCCATTGCTCCCTTGATGACCCATGTAACTGCCTGGGTCCAGGCACGATAAATAACTCTTGAGGAAATGCAAATTCAATTAAATGAGGATTGAAAATACTTTATCTTTAACTTGGTTGAATGTCCAGAAGAATGTTTCTGGTCTTTGTGAATTGATATTGACTGGGGCATAGTCTCTCCATTGTTTCATTCTGAACTTAGGATACCTGGGATTGTTACTTGGAAGAAGAAAGAAATATTTACCGAAGAATAGGGCTTTGTGAATCTTCTTTTTTCATTTTTTGAGAATGACCACTGAGATTCATTTTAGCAAGCTAATTTAGAGGATGGTAATACGATAATCCATGTTGGTGAAGAGGAGGTTGCTTTTGGTGGGAAGCCGTTGCCTTTTGCTCTTTCGCTTTGGAAAATCACTCGGCATCATTTTTTCATGTCCATCACTCATTTTTATCCGTGTGTTTTTATTTAAGTCAATTAATCCTTGTATTCTTTTAATTCGTTCAATTAACTCTTGTATTTTGTAAATTTGTTCAATAAATCTAATTGTTAACTTTCATCAATCTCAGTTAATTACCATGCATGCATGCAGATGTCACTCATATATAGAATGATTGGATTTGTTTGGTAAATAAAACATGTTTATTACTAGTGCTCCAGGCCCAGGCATGCAAACTAGTTGCCCCAGGCCTAGGTGGGCGGGCCTGGTCTTTGTTTTCTTTTTCTTTTTTTCTCTTGTTTAATTAAGATTTTTTAGGAAAAATTATGAATTATCGAACATTAGTATTTCTGTTTTTCACATAGTCTAGCGATAATAAATATATCATACTATATTTTTTATATATTTTAAAATTAATATGCATTTTAGATTATATTACTCTTATTATTTTAAATTTATTTTTTGAATTGGTCATTTTTTATGAAAATTCTCTTCTAATTAATATTTTTTATATAAAATTTTATTTACAAATAAATATTATTTATTTTTCTCTATATTTTCATTTTAGAATAAAATTTTTAAAAATGATTTTTTTAACATAAATTAATAAAATATATATATCATAAATTCTTATAATTTTTAAATAATAGTTGTATATATATAATTCCGAGTTCATATGATGTGGCATAATATGTAAGATACCACAATGGATTATAGTTCACATAAAATGACAAATGACCAAAAAAATAAAATTGAGGTTGTTCGGATGACATATTGCTCATTAATTATCATCCGATTTTAAAATAAATTCTCCACAATACAAACCCAAGTCAAATCATAAAATATATAAAATTTTATTTTTATGTTTTTGTGATAGAAAAATAGTATTCCTAGGATTGTTGTGGAAATTGAAAACAACATTCGTTGCTTGCCTAAGAACTTGAACAACTTGAAGAATTTATAGATGACGCACAATTGAAAGTGTACTTGAAGCTAAACTCAAATCTCAATTTCAACCATAGAAATAATTCTTTAAGTTGATCACCTAATCTTTTTTCACTCTCTAAAAATCAATCCCAAGTTACTCCACCATCTTCCCCAATCCATCGTCATTTCTCATTTCCTATATTTCTAATATCTAATTTCATGCTTGAATTAAATCTAAAAACAATTGTCCATCGGTTTCATCCCCTCTCTAGTAAAAACTTAAATGTGCAAATCTAAGGATTGATGCCAAATTGAGAGATGTCAAAGCTCGCGAAAGTTTAAATAAACAAGCCACAATAAATAGCCCTAGGCCGAAACACCCAAACTATAACTAGTATTAAATATACTCCCAAAACGAGATCTCAAATATCACCAAATTACAAATTAAAACATAATCAATAAACACTTCAAACACACACCCAATCGGATCCTACAATCACCAATCAAACACACATGTTATTCATAATTATGGTATATGTGTCCATTACCCAAATCAAATAAACACAAAATAGGTTCAAATTAAGCCACTAAAACCCCTTATTTAACTCGCGTCGAAATTCTAGATAGAATATGCTCCGAATTTACATTAACTTCCAAGACCTAAAAAACCCTATCAAGTATTTTTGTATTTTTATTTTTATTTTTTTATAATAGTTAAATCAACTCCTTAATAACACACTATCAAAATTTTAGATTAAACTAAACTTCCTAGCTTTAGTTATGAGGTTTAAGATCGAAATTGTTTAGTCTTGGAACCCCAATCAACTTGCAGTTAATCAAACATAAATATAAAAGATAAAAGCAAGCTGCAATGTCTCACCCCTAAGCAAAATACTCTACGCAAGCCGATTTAGAGAGTACTTACAAAATACGTTCGTCAAGAGTCCACTTAATGTAATTTGATTTAAGCTCACTTTAGTCGATCACTCTTAGAATGTGTTCACAATGTTCTAGCCAATCTAAGCAAATGAGATTCACATGAAGTTACAAAGAAAACTCTTAATTTTTATTCAAATATTCATCAAAGTCTAACTAAAAAAGTAGCATAAAATACGCTTAAATACTAACATAAAAGATCCTAAAAGAGTTGGTTAGGGTAGAATTTTTCTCCTTAGTTGATTTTACCTCTTTTCCTAATTTGACTTGGAATTATGTCATCTATTTTCAATTAAGACTTTATTAATTCAGCCTAATTAAATCTAAATCCACATATTATAAAGATTCAAAATAAATAAGGATCCACATCACATAAGGATTATTTAGCCACTAGGCCACATGCAATATCCCTTTAAAATAGAAAAACCAAAACTTTAAGAGGACTAATTAATTAGACCAAGGTTATACATTTAAAAATAACTCAACTAATTAAAATACAACCCAAATAAATAAAAACAATAAAATAGAAAGATAAAAGGTTGAAAGTTTTGGCCACTATGGAGTGCCAAACTTTCAGCTAGGTAGGAGAGTGGATGCTTCGCATTACAGATTTTGAGCATATAATAAGTTCACTAGTCATGGCTTAAGGAAGGCACTTGAGTGCATTCTTGTATTGATTGTGGTGGTGGTTGTTTTTCGGAGTGATGATGGTGTGGGACAAATTTAGCTTTGCTTTTTCTTAATTTCATCTTAAAGCTTGATTAAATATTTGGGTGATGAAAGAGCAAGAAGGATGAGGAGAGGGTTCATAGGTTTGAATCTTTAGCTATTATGGATTTTCAATTTCTGTATTTTTTTAGTATGTAGTGGTGTATTATATAAATATTAACAACAACAACAACAACAATAATAATAAGCACTTCTTCTTCACTCGATTTTGTTGAATATTCCACACAATTTTAATGATTTTTGACAAGCATAGGAAGGTGGGTGACATGCCATCCAAGTAGCTTCAATTTTAATTTTTTGGCCATTCGAGGTGGCATCCTACATGTCATGCCACATCATATGAATTTGAAATTTTGGATGAAAAACCCCTCCCATGCTAATATGATTATTGGAAGCTTAGTTCATGTATTTTTCATCTATTTTTAAAAGAACGTGCCAAAATTATTAAAAAATATAAAATTCATAATTTTATGGTATAATAAGCCTTATTTTAATATACAAGATAGAAATGTATTTAGATAATTTATATCGGTCTACTATGATTAAGACGTATAAAAAAACTATTGAATCATCCATTTAATTAAAAATTAAATATATATCTTCACTCATAACACCAACTATTTCTTATGAATATTATTTTTTTTAACAATATAGAACTAATTTTTTTTAGAAATAAAATAATTAAAATAATTTTTAAAAGAAACCACCCAACTATTCATATATAATTTTTATTCTAATATTATTGATTATTTTTTAAATAAATATATAGATCAAATGCATATATTTTTTAAAAAATCTTCTCGTTAGCATTAAATAAGAATAAAAATTTATTTTTATTAGTTAACTTTTATATAAGTCTATACATTAATAGTAACTTTGTTTATTTTTTTGAATGCATTCTTATGAAAAATATATTTTGAGTTTTTTTTTTTAATTCTTGATTAATATTTTAGTTTAAATTATTACAAGTTTTTATTTGAAAATCAATGTATAAAGAAGATTAAATCATATTTTTTTTAAGTGAAAAATTAATGAAATACAAAAATTTCAATAAAAATTATAAAATTTTTAAATGATTTTGTTTTGTTTGACTCATAGTGTAGTGCAAGAACCGGTTAGTAGCTAACTATAAGAAAAGCAAGGACATCATGTCGTTCTTATTACTAGTTTTGTACCTTTTTTTTTTTTTAGGGATAACATGTATTTTTTTTTTAACGCAAGCTATTTACCAAATATTTTAACTTTTAAAATTTGTACCAAAGGTTAATTAACTTATAAATGAATTTAAAACCTAAGAATTAAATATATGGTTGATGAAACCATGAAGATTAATTAATTAATTTGATAAATTATAAAGATCATGTTATAATTAATGCTTGAAGTAGTGTTACTCCATGAGTTTTCACCCTTAGATGGATGAACAGATCGATAATTAATGCTTTATTGGAGACAAACTTGAGGTACTTTGTGAGTGAAAACCATCAAGATTGGGCCAAGTTGCTCGGATATTACCCAGTTCTCCTATAACTTCTAAAAGAGAGTTTATTGACAAAAGTCCATTTGAGATTATAACAAGTCGGCATTTTTTCACTCCATATATGATGGTGCTTGGTGATAAGTACTAAAGAAGCAATCCTAGCGTATATTTATTAGCCAAAGAATGGCAAGAGTAGGCATACTTGGCACGAATGTATTTGAATAAGGCTACTAAAGAGATGAAGATGAAGAAACGAAGCTAACAAGAAATAAAGAGATGTCACCTTTCAATTGAGTGTCAAAGTCATGGTAAAGTTGCTTCGTCGTAACAACATAAGGCATTTTGCAAGGTGCACAAGTCCTCATACGTCGATATGAAGGACTATTTGAGGTAGTGCACAAGGTGCGAAATGTGTCCTATTGCTTAGAGTTCATTGTCAAAACTAAAGATCCATCCGGTATTCCGTGTTAGTATGTTGAAGCCATACCACGCAAATGAAGAGGATCAAGTTTCGGAGATTCTTATTAAGGCACCTATAGTAGTGGTGGACTAGTATGACAAAGAAGTTAATGTCTTACTTGATGACTGCATTGTTTGACGTCATGGTATGCCACTAAGAAATGAGTATCATGTGAAATGAAAAGGTTTACCGTAAAGTAAGACTAACCGAAAACTCGTCGAAGCCTTATGGCAATTCCTATGAAAGGTCGAGGAGTATAATGAAGGAGCGCCGAAGATATCGTTAGATTAGGTGAAGAAGAATGTTACTTCTCACATGAAAGATTGATTTTTCCGGAGGTTAATTAGGAACACTAGTCCGTAGGTTAATTGGGAACGCTAGATAAGTCCGAAGCCTCTAGAAGATTATGGAGCAATGAAAAATTCTTTAAATTATCCAAGATAAATCTAGACATATCCTAAAAAATTCTAAAGAGAGTCTCTCATATATATATATATAGGAGAATTCTAGAGAATTATTTATAACTATTACATTAAATAGATCTTAACTATCAATTGAGGAGTTAAAGAACTATATATAGAGGAGGTTTTTATTTGGCCAAACCATCCGGAAAATCCAAAAAGATGAAATCCTAGAGTTGTATTCTAAAAGAGAGTTGTAAGTTTTAGAGAGCAATATAAAAAATTTGTTTAATATCTCATGTGTTTGTCTTTATTACCTCACAATTTAATATAAGAGATAGACTGCTTTGATTTGACTTAAAAAGAAGTGAATCAAGTGTCACACGAGAGTTTGAAATAATGAAATCCGTGACACATAACCCTTAAGTTTGACCAATAAATGAAGGACCTAAAGCACTGTGCGGTGGAACCATAGTATTGTGATGTCTACTATGACTAGAGTTGTAGACAATTGGTAATAATTTCATCGATGAACAAAAGGTTCATGGTGTCATTAGATCCTTACTGAAAAACTCTCAAAGACCATTTAAAGATGGTGCTAACACACAATGAGGGTATTAGGACCTTCAAAGATGTTGGACAACATCTCGAACTTGAGATGGAGCTTAGAGAGGCAAATCGCACTGCAGGTTTTTCACCCCAAGCTGGACAGTAGAGAGCATTTAGGCCCAAACGAAACGCAAAGGACAATATAACAGAACTACACACCAAGAGCTAGCTCTGTGACCAAGCTCCATAGGGACAAGCATGGAAAAAAGAACATGCATTTAAGGATGAGCAATGTGCGTGACCTACTTTTATATGATTTGGATTTGGATTTGCATTTGAATAATGATATTGCTTTAATTACTTCTCACGTTTTTTTTTTTTTTTTTTATAATACTAAATCTGATTCAATTAAATGGCATGGAAGATTAGACTATATAGGATAAGATAATCTGGAGGGAGGGCCAATTAGGCTCATTTGCTAATATAAGCCTAGTTATGTTATGTCAACCATGTCTAGCATAAAAAATAAAAATAAAAATAAAAAAGCCTTTTGATGAGGTCCGAAAGCACGAAAGACGCTTCTTATTTCCTAGTCTCATTTGAGCACGAAAGCACGTGTGCTTCACGATGATTGGGTTCCTTTTCCACAATGGACGGACCCAATAACTAACAGCCATGTAACCATCAACGCCTTACGTTTCAGTACTCTCATCAACGGAGATCTTTCCTCCATCTCTACGAGCGTGCTCCTCACGCTCCTCCCTCGCTCATAATCTCATCTTCACTAACCAACCACTGATCAGTCGTCATTAAAAAAAAAAAAATAAAATAAAATCAAAACTGACCTCCCTCAGTCCCTCTCTCTCCCCATATGCGCATTGCGCACCCTGTCCGCCCTCTCATATCATTCACCTTCAATTTCTCTTCCTCTCCATTTACAAAATATCTTTCTATTCTGTCTCTGACTACTGAAACAACCGAGAGACGACGACCTGTCGTTCAATTTCCAATGGTGGAGACAGAGGATGTTTCGACGACGGCGATTGAGGACGACGCTGCCAAGTACGGCTTCACTCGATCGGAGATGCACAAGTCCAACCTCGCGGGAACTGTTGATCCGTACGGACGACATGTGTTCCTTTGCTTCAAGAACCCTGACGCGTGGCTCCCTCGTGTCGAGGAAGATGATCTACCGAAACTTCTCTCCTCCGCTTTCAAAGCTCGAAAAGACGACATCAATGTTAAGGTCAGTACTCGGTACAGCTTCATATTTTCTTTAAAAGAGTTTATTTTGATTTCTTTCAGTGATTTTGATTGATAGACGAAGGTGACGATATGCGAAGGAGGAGAAGGAAGCGAGTTTGAGAACGGAGATGTTTTGATATTTCCTGAGATGATTAAATACAAGTAAGTGACTTTCCTTTTTATTTCCCTTGAAAATTTAATTTTGTGGAGATTGAGATAATAATAATTCTATTATATGTTGATATAGTAGAGAAGGGTAGAGTATTTGAGGTTGAAATTCTAATTATCAGAGTTTTATTACCGATTTCTTTTTAGTTTATTATTTTAGAAGACTCTGCAGTCTGTTTCTGCTGGAGTTAACCTTTTTCTGTTCTTTTCTTTTCTTTTTGATTAGTTCTGATCATGATAGATTAATGTGATATTTGATAGTTTATGAGCATTAGAGTGATGATTGTCAGTAGTTTTCTTGTTAAATTAAAAAAAAAAAAGGATAGGTCATTACTGAATTATGGTTGTATGTCTTGATATAAAAAAATTTGTCTTAAGAAACCAATGATGTTTCAGTGTTTAGACTGAGAATGAACTGAAGCAATAATTTGCCAGTAAATTTCAAAGTTCACTATTCTATCTGTGCGAGACTTGAGTTCCAGCTGTGTTGTTTTCAGGATACCAAAAAAGACTTTGATGGCTTAGCTTTTTTCTTTTTTTTTTTTTTAAATAATGATTAGGCTTTACTGAGTTATGCTCAAGTTTTTATTGCTGCAATTATTGCTTTAAGTGAGGTATTATTGACCTTTTCAATTTAATGAAATGGCAATGGTATTCAAGATGATGTTTCATTTCTTTATTTAGCCCAGTGTAATAGTAATGCTTGCTTGAAAATAATATCTTAGAAGCAAATATTATATGTTGCTATTTTTTTCAATATATATTTGTTGATTCCAAGAATTTTTATTTTTGATATCAAAGGGGTTTGAAGGACTCTGATGTCGATGGTTTTGTTGATGATGTGCTTGTGAATGGCAAACCATGGGCCTCTGGGGTGCAGGAGGTGTTGACAGGTTCACATGTTTTTGTGTGTGCTCATGGTAGTCGTGATAAGAGATGTGGTGTTTGTGGACCAGTTCTTATTGAAAAGCTCAAAGGGGGATTGAGTCTCGAGGGTTGAAGGACCAAGTGTTTGTCAGTGCCTGTTCTCATGTTGGGGGGCATAAGTATGCTGGGAACCTGATAATCTATAGTCCAAATTCAGAGGGAAAAACTATGGGTCATTGGTAAGTTTTTGCATTCTTTATACTTGTCATGCTGCAATTTGAAGGAAATCTGATATGCTCCAATCCTTACAGGTATGGCTATGTTACTCCTGAAGATGTGCCTGAAATATTGGATCAGCATATTGAGAAGGGAATAGTTATTGAACGGATTTGGAGGTTTGTCTTCTACCATAGCAGTTCTATTGTTGATCTGTATTTTCTTTCTAGATACACTCAGAATGTGTCCATTATTCATGGTTTAATCACACATGTGGTCCCTGTATTATGTAATTTTGATTAATTAAGTCCCTCTACTATCTTTTCCATTTACACTTGGAGCCCTCACTTTAGATGCTGTTACCTGGGAATGATTATAATTGACTCCCTTTTAATCAACATTAGTTTCTGAAAATAATTGTTGACATAAGCATAATATCCAGTTTGCAAAACAATTTTAAAACTAGGAAACAGTCAAAAGTAATAAAAAATGATTAAAAGCCCTACTGAATTAATAACCAAACCGATTTGAAATTGGAATTCCCATCACAGAAAAGTTTCTGCCCACCATCACTGCGCTATACCCAAACCTGAACCCATTTTCACTTATGTCAGTTGACCCAGATCCTCCACGCCAATCACCATCACCAACATTGCTTATGACTTTGATATCTTTTGCTGCACCATAGTGGACTCAGAGACTTCATCTCCCTTGGCTTCGACCCCTCTGTGCACACTGGTGAACTCGCTGTCTCTAGTGCAAGGGCTGATTTGGGCGAAGTAAAGTTACATGAAAAGAATTCTTATGTTCTTAAAATTTATAGTTATTTGATCGTTAATTTGTTGTTTTAATTTAAGATCTTGTATGGTAAGACTTAGAAAGCAAAGAGACATACGGGTGATGATTATGTTTGAACACAATGACTTTAAATGCTTAAGGTGACTTTTGGTTCTGGTTAAGAATTTAGATGACAAGCGGGCTTTGTGTACTCTAGGACTCGGAAACCAGATTGGGAAAGAAATGAGACTTGGTCGGATATGAATGGAGAAATCCTGGTGAAAATTGGCATTGTTGAGAGAATAAACCAATGTGTTTGTTCTTGCTTGAAAAACGTACCTGTTGCTGCTGTCATCATTGGTGTAGGTGTAGAAACTTACCCTCCTTTGGCATGCTAACAAGATTTTATAGAAAAAAGTTGAAGCCTGTAAATCTTTGGATTTTTTTTTATGTTTCTTGTTTTACATCTGATTAGGAAAGAAAATGAATAACCTACTTGTTTATTTAACTAGGTTTGCATTGCCCCATGTTTTCCTATTTCCCATTTAATAAGGTGTTAAATTCAACTTTGTTAATTCAATAAATTGTTTTTTTTTTTTAATCTTCTCACTTATATGTTGTTTAGATTTTTAGTTTTTAGTCAATTTACTTTCTTCTCATCATGATTTGTTATCCCTTTTTTGTTTGAGATAAAAAACTATGAGTTCATAATGTTTGATCAGGTTTAAATTCCCATGTAATTTTTTTTTTATTGGAAAGTTTCAAATTTGTTTTTTTCGATTTAGAATGAATTTGATCGTTAAGTTTTACTCATTTGTAATTACTTTTGCTTTTTTAAGTCTAAAATTGTTGTTTAAATTTGAATTATTATTTCTTTCGTGTTATTCATTTTATTAGAAAATGTAGATTAATTTGAAGTGGATCAATCATGACACATGTCAATCATCCAATGTATCAGCCATTTATTCGCAGCAATTTCTTGAACAGAGAGCTCTAAATGTAAAGGAAATAGATAGTAGATAGACTGTAACACATTGATTTAGTAGATGAGGGATCCAATTAATGAAACTGACAAGAATATGAGGACCACACATGAAGTTAATTGCATAATTTTCTAATACTAATTTGGTTCCAGATCTTAAACCATTTTAAATATGTCTTTTGTTTCTAAAGTTGATGATTACATTACAATGCGAGTGCTCATAGCTCTAAATCTAAATTGTTGTTCATTGTTGTTTCCTGGCCTTGATTGCTCATTTTATGTACAATTAGTTGGTTATTTAGCTTTATTATCGACATTAGTTGATAAAGTGGTTCTGAAAGCATGTTTTGCGTTTGTCTCTGAATCTAAATCTAAATCATTATCTTTTTTTTTTTTTTCCTGATATTTATTTTCTTTAAATCATGCCCTATAAGTTTAAGTTGTATTTTAAATGTTTTTATCCAACACCACACATTTGGTATGTTGTGAAAGTAGTCTAGAGCATTAAAAGTGATAAATGTGATGTGGTTACTTGCATGTGGCTTTGATTAAGGTAATCTTGCTGACAAAATTACCTTGGGAAAAAAAGAGTTTTGAAAGTCAAGCTCAATAGGAATCCCTTTGTGAATGAATCGTAAAACTCCTTTATTGTCTTCTCAAACCGAGATCTTATTTATAGGGTGAAAAATAAAGATCAAGGGGTGCCGGCGCTGCTACAATTACAATTGCGTTTTTGGGATATTGCACTGATTGGTCACCTGCTTCTTTAAGTTTCCGCTGTACAGTGTACTGGGCTAAATTTCCTTGAAGCTAGTGAATTTACTTTTTGGTCTTTATGCATGAAATTTTAGATTGTCACATGCAATATGCTGGAATAAACATATTTGTTTCTTGTTCTTTATATCCAAATTTGGTAGCTTCACTGACATCTTGAGCATGATTAGTACAAGGTAGAACATAAATTTTTAAATTCAACTGCAGGGGTCAAATGGGGCTATCTACTGAAGAAGGTGAACAAAAGCTTCCAAATGGAAAAGATGAGACCAAGAGCAATAAGCATGAAGAAACCATCACCGAGGCTGCGAGGGACAACGGTGGTAGCTGTTGCCAGGGTGCTAATGGCTTTTCATGCTGCAGAGATGGGAGTTCAGAGATAATCAAAGAAAAGAAACTGGAGGAGAACGTCAAAGGGCATAGAAAGACAGGGCTGGATAAACTATCAAGGTGGATAGGATCAGTGGAGCAAAGTGAGGTTCTTGCAGCTGTTGCTGTAGTTGGAGCAGTGGCGACTGTTGCAGTGGCTTATAGCTTTTATAAAAGGTCAGGCTGAGACATGCCTTGTAATCCATGCACTATTATTTGTTTGCGGGTGAATCCCCTTACTTTTGTCCACAGATGCAGCAAAACTGAGAAAATAATCCTCTGAACCACGCTTGTCTTTAGTAGACTGATGCATATATATTCTTGTTTATCAGGGTTGTGAAGTATCACTTACTTTAAGAGTGAAGCGTGATCCCACCTTTTTTAATTTTTTCTTGATTTCCGCACATTATTTATTGTTACAAGATTTTATTTTTTAGGGTGCTTGATTTTTTATTGTTATTAATAATAATTTTTTCTTTTTAAGACAATCTGGTCACTTATACGACAATAGGAGGCTTGCAAAAAATTTAATCTGCATCAAGTACAAGTCTTGAACATTTGCTAGGGTGATGCTGGAAACTTTGTCCAGGAAAATATTATGGGGCTCCGGGGAGTTCCGACTGTGATACCTCCTTAAATCGCATTTGGTGCTAGTAGAAAGGTGAAAACTTTGTTTGGTACCCAATTACTAAGAGGGAGAAGAATTAAGGAGGGTACAATAAACCCTAATTTTGGAAAGTAGGGAGAATGAAAACTAGGATACAATTAAGAGCAAGTGATTGCCAAACAAATTATTCAGCACATATAGGCTTTAAATAAAATTAAAGGTAAAATTAAATTCCTTTGTTAAATGAGGGCAGGTTTCCATTCAATTTGAATTAAAAAAAAAAAAAAAAAGCCACATGCCTAGCATATGAGGTCTAAGCATATTTAATAAAAAGACTCAATTTGTGTTGACTGATTTGTTTAAAAATTATTCGTGCTTTCATCAATAGCATAGTATAGAAGAACTTAATTTGTTTTGTTCAAAGATTGTCTGTACTTTGATCAAGGGCTTGATTAACAGAAAGATTAATTTTTACCCTTTATCGATGGTACAGGAAGCTTGACACTTTTTACTTTTAAAAAATTGGATTGACATCTAAAGTCACTTAATAGAAATATTAATTTTTACCCTATTCAAGAACTATTTGCACTGAATAATTTATTTAAGAATTATTTACGCTTAAGGAGTCTTCTTACGTTTTATCCTAAAAATTACTCTCCTTAAGAAAGGAACAAAAAAGGAGCATGAGTCTCTCTCAAGCTAAGGGGACCCGACATACAATTTTCTTTTATTTCAATGATCCTCAAGTTTTAACATGTTTGTGAATATTTCTTTTTCACTGGAAAACTTAATTGAGACAAAAATAAAATTCTTGGAGACTTAGTTGAGATAATGTCTGCAGTTGGAGGACTTTTTGAAGCTTGCCTAAACAAAACCTGATATTTACCGAGATAAAGATAAATTGAGGTGGATAGGATGGGTAATCTTCACAGTTACTTGACAGTGCCTCTTGACTTTTCTTCTTCTTTTTCTTTTTTTCCCGCTATATAGGAAAGACTTGAATTCGAAATGTCTTAAAAGAAGAGGGGATATTAATGCCTGGTAACATTAGATTTATTATTTATCGAGTCCAGATTATTAGTTCATAATAAATATAAAAATGATATAATTAAGAATCAAATAATTAAGTTATAAGAGAATAAGATAAATTTTATAACAAAATAGGCAAATATTTTTAATAGTCTGTAACTATTTGCAATATCTTATTTTTAGAGTAAATATAGTACATTTTCTCTTTTATGATGATAATTTACCTTTAGAATAACTTTCACTCTCTATGCCTTAAAGTGATTGTCTCTCTAAATTTTTAACATAGTTTAATAAATTTATTAATTATAATGCTATATCACTATTTTTTAATAATATTTTTTAAATGAGAAAATCTATCAAATTTAATCTTGTATTACAAAATAAGAATATTTAAAAAAATATATAGTAAAAATTTTGACTACACAAGTATTTTGGAATAGATATAAATAGAAATGAGTAAAATCTTTTTGGAACAAAGGGAGTATTATTTTTCATTTTCATAATTAATTATGACTTTTTTTTTAAATAAAAATATTAAGTAATAAAGAAAAATGTTGGATATAATAACTAAATGTGCTTTTTAAGCGTTTGATTTAATATCGTGCTATATATATATGTATAAAATATTAAAAATTTTGACTACGCAAGTATTTTGGAATAGATATAAATAGAAATGAGTAAAATCTTCTTGGAACAAAGGGAGTATTATTTTTCATTTTCATAATTAATTACGAATTTGTTTTTAATAAAAATATTAAGTAATAAAGAAAAATGTTGGATGCAATAATTAAATGTGCTTTTTAAGTGTTTGATTTAATATCGTGCTATATATATATATATATATATATATTGTTTTGTTCAATTCTATCATTTTTTTTCCTTCATATTTCTCTCTCTCTTTTTTTTTTTTTTTTTTTTTGAATAACAATATTTGAAAAAAAGTTAAAAGTTACCACTACACAAATTTAGTAGTTGGTTTTCAAATTTAAGTAATTCATAACACTAGGCAACCTGCAATTTTAGGGAAAAAAGATTTATTAGTAAACAAATACAATAATTTCAATAATTGAATTTTGTGTTATTATCAAATAATAGAGGTAAAAATTAGTAGTACTTAAAGATTATGATTGTCTGCCCGATAAATGTGAATTCCTTATTTGATTCCTTATGTTTGGTGCACTATTAGCATCTCCTAAGGATCGAGTAGTTACAACCAATGTCTTGAACATCTTCGTATTCACATTTAGGCTCGGGTTCAAACCTCGGAGCCGTGTCGAGATCGATAGCATTATTTCTTAATGCAAATTGGCTTTCTCGCTCTTCTAGCTTTTCTTCCATTTTTTTTTCATTTCTTATGTAATTTCTTATCACACCTTTTCTTCTACATCTATTTTGATGACATTTAATAAATCTTCGAGTACTTTTATGGATGATTGATGAAGGATTGTTTTGCCTTTCAAATCGGATGGTGTGACGACCCTCCCATATAACATAACACATCCGAGTCGCACCCTAGCTCCCATCACCGTAGAAAATGCATCAACAGATTCATTACCTTTACTTGAATGTTGAGACTCCATTTCTCACATTTGACTCCGTAATGAAATCACAAGTTCCTTAAAAATGCAGTTTATATAGTACATGATAAAGTAATTTAAAACTCTTTTTATAAATTTTAAATATAAGGAAATGAAAGATTGAAAGTTCTTACAATCTTGATAATCGTATCCTCATCCGATTCCTTACAAGAATGTCCAAGTTTTCTTTTTCAAGTTTCAATAAACATTTCGAAACGGGTTGGTTCTTCCTTATTTTCCTTTGCATCTTCGTCGCTTATCAAGAAATAAATTTTAGCCATACTAAATTTAACGAAGTGAAGATATTTCTTATGCTTGGAGATAAATTATATAAGTGATGAAGAATTCTTGAGGATGAAACCATTGGACAATGTTTTGTTTAGATTTTTATCATACAACATTATAAGTCATTTTTCTCCTTCTTTTGAAGGATCCCGGATCAACATCGAAGGGCTCTCGAACTCAAAAGGGCATATCATAAGAACAAAAGAAATAGAAAAGAAAAAAGATATGATAGAGGTTCTCTAAATATTATGATAGTGTATGTTCGGATCTAAGCACTTTAAAACGTAGATATTATAGCTTACACATTTTAAAGTGCTTTTCTTATAGTTTAGTTAGATCACCATTTGGGCAGTATGCATAGACACATTTACTCGGGTCATTTTTTGATACATACTCAAGTCATTTTGATACATATTTAAGCAAATAATATAAGGCCAATACCCAATTTAATTGTAAATTCATGGATTTATTGAATATTTTCTAAGTAAAACTGCCAATGTTTCTTGTAAATTTTCATGTGGGTTATAATTTCTTATTGTTTCTCTTGAAATTTTTCCTACTTAAAACCTTAGGTTTTGGGTTTCCATCTTTTATGATTCGAGTTGTCCGGACAGATCAATGTGCCAAGATTTGGATTATAGAATTTGAAACTAGGCTAAGCAGGGGTGTCGGGTGAACTGACGGAATGCCCAAATAGTTAAGGTACCAAGAGATTTATGAGTGGAGACACAAACAAGCCAGTAAAAGTGTGACAAACTTTGAGCACACATAATTGAGCTCAAATTAATAGTTGGGAAGACATAAGCTCAAGGTGCTAACTTTGTCTACAAGGTCAAGTATGGGCCAAGCTTTAAAATGTGTAAGCAAGTCATACATGTCAATGCATCCAAACACTTTAAAATGTGGGTATTCTAGCTTACACAAAATCAATGAAATTAAAAAAAGAATTTTCCGTAAGAAAAAAATACATTGCTCAATATTCAGATTTATAAAGTAAAGTCATTTTTCTTACCAATTTTTTTTTCGTATCCTAGCGAAACTCATTTTACCCACTGTGTGCATATTCTTTTACAGTTTATGATTTTCAACATTTATAGTTGTCATCATCTATATAATAATTTCAATTAATAACGTTACTATAAAATTTGATGATATAAACAAAATATATAACGAGTAGTGACAAAATTTTAAAACTCTTATACCTTGGCATTATCTCGAATTCCAATACTTCAAGCAATTTTCTAAACTTATCCTCCGGAATGTGTTTTGGATGATTTAGCATTCTAAGTTTGTCGGTTTTGTACTTGTAATAGTGATCCTTCTTTAACCAAGCATTTGTACAACCTCCAATTATCTCTTATTGTGGCAAAATCCATTTCTTGCCTTAGAAAGGAATTATGTGTTTTTTCTACATTAAAAAATAAGGTTGGCTTTGGCATTGAAAAATAAGGATGGATTAACATGTAATATCAAATAAATTTACATGTATGAGGTAGAAAATTATGGCAATACAAAGAGAGAAATAGAAAGAGATAAAGCTCGAATTACTTGCTAGAACATATTCCTATAATGCTTCCTTAGTAGGCATCTTGCATAAATTAACGTGATTGGTGTGAGACTCCCATTTTGGGACAATGTTCCCAAAAAGCTACTGAACTCATTCAAAGTCTTATCATTGGGGCCTATTGC